GCTCGAAGAACCGGATAGTGGGGTTGGGATTCGGTGTTACCCAAGAACTCGTGTCCGAATCGCCCAGAGTGACCGGAGCTGCATCTCAATTAGCATTTATTCATAACACGGTGTAAAGCTCTGGCTACATACTAGTAGCGGAGGTAGAACTGATCGTTGGGGGCCGCCATTGTGACAACAGTGTTGGCGACAATTGGCAATGTCGGTGAAATGTCACGGCTGGTGTCTTCGAGCTGCAAGGCTGGAGATGGGAATGCAAGGAAAAGCGGGATGGTCCCCATCGAGTCCAGCCTAGCCCGCGGTGCCTCGCCGGTAGGGTAGCGGGGTCCGATCCGACATGGTCCAAGCTTCCTCCAGTCGCCAATGGAGAGCTCTTGCCCGCCAAGGGAGGCTCTTATCAGTTAATCCGTTCCGTCTCCGTGTTTTGTGCAAGGCGGCAAGGGGTCAAGTCCCATTAAAACCTGAATCACGTGTGACTACCTAAGTAAGTGACACCTGTCCGGCGCTGGTGCCCAGGGACAGATATTCACGAAATGGAGGCCAGAGTGTGAGAGAGAGCCCAGCTACTGAGCCGTATGTCGAAACTTATTGCTTTCAACACAGCACAACAAGGCGACGCATGACTACCTAGGACTCGTGTGGAAGAGGACAGTCTCGCTGGATGGCCTAATGTTCGTCTTATTCCCCAATCCCCTCAAGTTTGGTCACTTTGGGCTGTGAACTCGCAGCGATAGACAGCTTCCCTTAGCTAACACGTATTCCACCCCCGTCCCTAGACCGTCCAATCCCCACCGCCCAGCTTCGATACATCCCACTCGAACACCCCGAACTCCCCCTTGAACACGTCCTCAACCACAGCGCCGGCACCTCGCCAGCAACATCACACCGCACCCGCCACGATGGCCTCCTTTCTGGAAAATGCGTACAGCTTGGTGCACCAGGACAATGCCGCCGACGTTCCCTCCCTCTCGGACCTGCGCACGCAGCTCGAGAAGGGCACCGACGAGAGCAAAGTCGAGACCATGAAGCGCATTCTCACGATCATGCTCAATGGCGATCCCATGCCCAACTTGCTCATGCACATCATCCGATTCGTCATGCCCTCGAAGCACAAGGCTCTGAAGAAGCTATTGTACTTTTACTATGAGATTTGCCCCAAGCTCGACTCCAATGGCAAGCTGAAGCAAGAAATGATCTTGGTCTGGTTCGTGGCTGGCTTGTTCGTTCCCTTCGCAGCTGCACCCCTGCTGACACTCTGGCCTTAGCAACGGTATCAGAAACGACTTGCAGCACCCCAACGAGTACATCCGGGGAAACACTCTTCGCTTCTTGTGCAAGCTTAGAGAAGCCGAGCTCATCGAGCCTCTCCTCTCCTCCGCCAGACAATGTCTCGAGCACCGCCACGCCTACGTGCGCAAGAACGCCGTCTTTGCGGTTTCCTCCATCTACACACACTCCGCCAGCCTGATTCCCGATGCCTCAGAGCTCATTGCCACATTCCTCGAATCCGAGAACGATCCCACATGCAAGCGCAACGCTTTCGCTGCGCTGGCCTCTATCGACCACGAGAAGGCACTGCTCTACCTGAGCACGGTGTTTGAGGGTATCCCGAACGCAGAAGAGCTGTTGCAGCTTGTTGAGCTCGAGTTCATCCGCAAGGATGCCGTCCAGAACTCTCAGAACAAGGTAACGAGAACCGAGAACGGACATTGCCTTGTCGCACATCTGACTTTGATTAGGCACGGTATCTCAGACTCATTTTCGACCTCCTCGAAGCCAATACCTCGACCGTCGTATACGAAGCCGCTTCCTCATTAACCGCCCTCACAAACAACCCTGTCGCTGTCAAGGCCGCTGCCGCCAAGTTCATCGAGCTCAGCATCAAGGAGGCCGATAACAATGTCAAGCTCATCGTGCTTGACCGGGTTGATCAACTGCGGAAAAAGAACGAGGGTATTCTGGACGACTTGGTTATGGAGATCCTCCGCGTTCTTTCCAGCCCCGATATTGATGTCAGACGCAAGGCTCTGGATATTGCTCTCGAGATGGTGTCAAGCAAGAATGTCGAGGAGGTTGTGCTGCTGCTTAAGAAGGAGCTCTCCAAGACTGTCGACCAGGAGTACGAGAAGAACACCGAGTACCGCCAGCTCCTCATCCACACCATCCACCAGTGCGCCATCAAGTTCTCAGAGGTTGCCGCTAGCGTCGTCGACCTGCTCATGGACTTCATCGCCGACTTCAATAACACTTCAGCCGTCGATGTCATCAACTTCGTCAAGGAGGTCGTGGAGAAGTTTCCTAAGCTGCGGAAGCCGATCGTCCAGAGGCTGGTTGCTACCCTCAGCGAGGTGCGTGCCGGAAAGGTGTACAGAGGTATCATGTGGATCATAGGAGAATACTCCCTGGAGGAGCGCGATATTCGGGATGCATGGAAGAGCATTCGTGCCAGCCTCGGCGAGATCCCGATTCTCGCTTCGGAACAACGACTTCTGGACGGCGATAGCGAAGAAGAGAACAAGGAGCAGGTCAACGGACACTCAAAGCCCGCAGCACCTACCGGCTCCCGCAAGGTTCTTGCCGACGGAACGTACGCGACCGAGACCGCCCTTACCAGTCAGTCTGCTGTTGCTGCCAAGCTGGAGGCTGTCAAGGCTGCCCAGAAGCCTCCTCTGCGCCAGCTCATTCTCGACGGCGACTACTACCTCGCAACCGTTCTCTCCGCCACCCTCGTCAAGTTGGTTATGCGCCACGCAGAGATCTCTACCGAGTCAGCGCGCACCAATGCTCTCCGCGGTGAGGCCATGCTTATCATGATCTCCATCATCCGCGTCGGCCAGTCGCAATTCGTCAAGGCCCCCATTGATGAGGACTCGGTTGACCGCATCATGTCTTGCGTCCGCTCGCTCGCCGAGTTCGCCCAGAACAAGGAGCTCGAGACTGTCTACCTCGACGACACCCGCAAGGCGTTCAGAGCAATGGTCCAGGCCGAGGAGAAGAAGAAGGCCGCCAAGGAGGCCGTTGAGAAGGCCAAGACGGCCATCCAGGTTGACGATGTCGTTCAGATCCGCCAGCTCTCGAAGAAGAATGCCAGCGATGGTCTGGACGAGATCGAGGTTGACCTGGAGCGCGCAACAGGCGGAGAGGCCACCGCTGAGGATCTCTCGTCTAAGCTCAGCCGTGTGGTGCAGCTTACCGGTTTCTCCGACCCTGTTTACGCCGAGGCCTACGTCAAGGTTCACCAGTTCGACATCGTTCTGGACGTCCTTCTGGTCAACCAGACGATGGAGACGCTGCAGAATCTCTCCGTCGAGTTTGCCACTCTCGGTGACTTGAAGGTCGTTGAGCGGCCGACGACACAAAACCTGGGACCTCATGACTTCCACAACGTGCAGTGCACAATCAAGGTGTCCTCTACGGATACTGGTGTCATCTTTGGCAACGTTGTCTACGACGGTGCTCACTCAACGGATACAAACGTCGTCATTCTCAACGACCTTCATGTGGACATTATGGACTACATCCAGCCGGCAACATGTACCGAGACACAGTTCCGCACGATGTGGACCGAGTTTGAGTGGGAGAATAAGGTCAACATCAACTCCAAGGCCAAGTCTCTGCGCGATTTCCTCGAGCAGCTGATGGCGGCGACCAACATGAACTGCTTGACCCCCGAGGCTAGCATGAAGGGCGACTGCCAGTTCCTGAGTGCCAACCTGTACGCTCGCAGTGTATTTGGTAAGTTTACTTTCCCTGGTTCATTGATATTCGCAGCATTTGCAAGCTAACACGATTTCTAGGCGAGGATGCTCTGGCCAACTTGAGTATCGAGAAGGAAGGCGAAGACGGACCGATCACTGGCTTCGTCAGAATAAGAAGCAGATCGCAGGGTCTGGCCCTGAGCTTGGGATCCCTCAAGGGTCTCAATAAGATTGGCTCAGCGGCATAAGAGACCTGATAAAGGGGATGAAAGGCTATATACGGAGACTTGCGGTTTGTTCCCCTGGCTATCTGAGGCCCACTATGGCTACAGGTGTAATGAAGAGCCAGGAAAGAGACACAAGTGTTGAGTTTTCGATGGTGTATGCCGGGGAAAAGTAAAGCATGTGGTGGTGGTGGTGGCTAGCTTGTTGAAAGCGTCGAGTTGAGTTGAAATGGGAATGAACAAGGGGGCGTGGGGGTTGAGAAGGAGAGACTCCCCTCTCCTTTTCTTATCTCTTTGAGGTTAGAGTAAAAAGTGCAGCCCGGTCAGGCGTCATGAGTAGGTAGAAATGAGATGTTCTTGATGTTCAACAAATGGTCTTTTTCCTGCACGCAAATTTGGGTGGGCATGTATGAACGTGTGCATGAGACTTTCAAAGTCCAAGGTGATCATCGTCTCTACTTGCCTCTCCTAAATCACACGAGGAGAACAGGCATTGCAACACATAAAAAGGCTGAACGGATCTTGAGTAATTATTGGTATTGTACCTCTCCGCAGTGACAGCCACTCATCGCTGCCCTACACCTTGGAGAAAGGCTCGCTTGTCGAATGATCGTAATGACCGCTATTAACAACTAAGAAGAGAAAGAACCAAAACATCTGTGAAGTGCTCATGATGGAAAAAACGAACGCCTGCAATGAATTGCTGACCAACTTCTTTTGTGAGGCAGTGGGTTTCCATCCTCCGGAACGCCTGATCGACTATAAGGGAATATTAAAAAAGAGTCCCGCACCATAATGAAAGGGGGTATTTATCCAGACTGAGGAAAGCCAGACCAAAGGAAAATTCATGCCGAGGTGTGTACCCAATCAAATCGAATCGAATGTGATCGGGGTGGCGCCATGCCTGCAGCCGTGTTGCGTACGCCATGGCAATGTGCGTTATGTTTGTCGTCGTTCTTTACTGAGGAGAAGAGTGTAGATGGCGTTGCATGTCTTGAGACGACGTTCTCAGTCGGCGAACCCATGCCGTCTTAAGCCAAATGGACGCATATCTGTCCGCCTGCGATTCTCGATGATGCTATCTGTCGAAAACGAGGGCGTTGACCACATGACCCTCTGCCCAGCCCTGTTCAGCGAGGGAGAGATTGTCCTTAAGGATCTTGCCCATATAGGCGATGCGAATCTTTTTGGTGCTAGCGAGCTGGGAGCTTGTTAGATGATGCCCTCTCCAGGATAATTAGGCTGAGGCGGAACTCAAGATATGTTACTTACTCCTGACTGCTCCTGGATCTTACGAGCAACAGTTCTGACGCTATCGCTCTTGACAAAGCTGACAGTGACATCGCGTGCAGTCTCGCTCAGGCGGGCTAGAACGGAGAGCTGGTCCCGGGCGTCGACAACGGCCTTACCCTTCTCTTCTCTCCGGCGGACGTTGTCTTCCTCGTCCAGCTCCTCCGTAGTCTCCTCTCCTCCCGCAAGATCGTCCTTGAGGTCTCTAGTAGAGAGCGCTTCGTCGGCGCCATCAATCGTGGCATCGTCCTCTACCAAATTCGTGGGATTGGCGACAAGCCACTCAGACAGGGGATAGTAGTTGCCCAGTTGATCGTAGGCACCCTGAGCAAGATTACCCGTGGGAAGAGTGATCTCTGCCGCATTAAGAATGCCTTGTGCTGTCGCAAGACCATCGGTGCCGTCGTCAGCGGCACTCTGGCCGACGGGGTCCCAGATAACCTCGAGGGCTGCGCGCAAAGACTGCCAGACTTCTGGGCGGCCAGTAACGCGGGTATCAAAGAAGTCTCTTCGCTCGCGGTCTATTGCGACACGGGTCCAGGCGCGACCCTTAGAAGTCCAGACGTGGCGGCGCAGAGGCTTGTTGATGTGCTTGTCGAGAGGCATACTGGAGTGGCGGCCCCGACGGCGACCGGAGGAGGTCTGTGTTGTTTCGGCAGGAGAGTCATCGTCGCGATGAACTGAGGCGGGCGCAGAGTTGATAGCTCTCGCGGAGCCCGTGTTGGTCGGACCCGGGTAGTGGGCGTTAGAGCCCTGGGGACGGGAGAGACAGCAGCCCTATGCAAGAAGGATCGTCAGTCTGAGAACATGCGGGAGGTGGTCGGACGAGGTATGCAGGTATTGGCAGGAAGAGCGCTTGGGCGTATCGGAGTAGTGTCCGACGGCGGTATCATACAGAGACGAGAGGGAGAGGAAGTAAATATTTACCATATTGTCAACGCCTTCAGATGGAGGATGGGGTGTTCGGTTCTGTGTTGGCGAGGGAGATTGATTCTAGCAAGCTGATGCGTCTCGTGCCATTGCCCAGGTTGTGATTTGCGGCGTGTTGGTGATGATCAAGTGTCGCCGTTGACCTCGAGATGAAAGACGAGTCAAGACAAGCTTTGGCTAGCTGTACTGAACAAAGATGTCAAAAGGTTGGCGGGAACTAATTAGTGGCTTTGCCGTAGAGAGGTCGGGTGGTGAAAACGGGGGCGATGTTGAAAGAGGAGAGGAAACGAGTATGGGCTGTTGGAGGGTCTAGACCCTTGTGTCGTTGACGTGACGATCTGACGCTGGTTGGTCGACGAGCTGCGGCTGTCGTGTATTAAAAAGGTGTGTGTGTGTTTGTGTCGTGTTGGTCCCGGACGGAGCGTGGGGAGAGCGACGGGAAGTGGTGTAGCTGAAGTCAAGAAAGGTACGTATTCGAGGGGGAGGCGTTGCGAATGGAACGAGAGCAGAGTGAAGGTGGGTGGTGAGAGGCACAGAGCAGAGAGGAGCTCCTCAAAAACGTTACAGGCGGCAGAAGGAGGGCAGCAGAGGAGAAGATGAAAAGTGACGAGAGACAGTGAGGGACTAGGACTGTGTTTGGGAGGGTGGCTAGGCACCTGGGGTCCAGTGGTGACGAAAGGAAGGATTGCTGCGAGAGGTAAGGTAGCAGGTGAGGTGAGTGGTGAGAGGTGAGATGGTGAAGGCAAGGTGAGTGTGGTGAGTGAGTCTCTCTTGGTACCTTATCGCCCACCTCTACGGATACCTAGGTAGGTACCTTAGTACATCTCGAGTTAAAAAATGGAAAGAATGCAGCAGATGATCAGTGGTTGCAGTTCCCCGGAAGAGGATATCGGCAGCAGGGATGGTGCTAGTCCAGGCTTGTCCAGTGGGTTGCCGCTATGAGACGTCGAAATTGGGCTTGTTTTTCGCTTCCCGTCCGCTTCGTTTGCGAAGAGATAAGGCGAGAAAGCAGTGGACCTCGACTTTTCGTCCCTTTTCCCCCTTTGAGCATTCCTCTTTCAAGATCCGAGGTACCTTACCTTACCTTACTCCGTACCTTGTGTATGATTTGAATGCACGCAACCGTGGGATATCTCTGGGTTCAGCATCCAAATCAAGACATGTTTTGCTCCTTCGAGTCTCCCGTTTGCACGTGGATTATCCTCTTTCAGAAATATTCGAAAGACGCTAAGAGACAATGGATCGAGACATTGGATCGGCCCAGCCACATGGTTCTCTCTCCTCTAAGTGTCTCTCATATCCGTACAGACACACAAACTCCCTTCAGTGTCCACAGCTATTTTTTTTCTGTAAGTCCAGCTCCTCAAGGTTTGGTCACAAGTGCCTTGGCGAGATCCATCCGAAAAGTCAGCCCAGCACAGGGTCCTCCCCAGCATTCCTCAGCCCAACCCACTCGCTTCATGCCGCAAGACTCTTCCTCCATCGGCCTTCTTTTTCACCCTCGTGCTCTACATACACTACGATTGGCCCTCAGTGTTGGTTGTGAGGGGATCACTCCAAGGTTCTGCTGAGCCACCATGAACTGGACGCCTGATCAATAAACACGGGACAGCGGCCAACTGCATACCGATGGCTCATAGCAGGCGCCTCTACCGGCACATCTCGATCACGCACGCGAGGTAGAGACACCATCCGTGAAGGCAATTCACTAGGTAATCACTTCAACTTTTCCTAGTAGTATTCGTAGAGGTCATAGCGGTGCTCAAATTGGCGCTTCTAGAATGGATATCGACCGGGGCCCGTCTCGTATTACTACGTACACCAATTGAAACGCCATTGCCGAGATCCCGTTACCTGACTCCAGCGCCAATTTGGAAGTTTGCCTTAATAGCACATAAGATCTGCGTCTCCATCGCAACACCAGATCTGACACCTCAATTTGCGTCCCAGGCTTAGATGCATTTCATCGCGTCATGCCCCCTCCGACCTGACAATTAACATGTGCGCCGTGCACGAGTTGGACGTCAGTAAGGCCATGCTTTATGTCCCAATCCAGGGCATCCCCCCTTGACGTCCCGAGTTGTCCGCCTCTTCAGACGAACCGGGCGCACCGGCCATCCCTGAAGATCCAAATTGTGGGCTCTTTGTAGGCTTGATGCTTCATCAACCCACAGAGCCTCCGTGTCATGCCGTCTCGGCACCTGACCCAGTCTTCCTTGCCCGCTGTCTCCCGGTATTCTCGATCTGGGCCCATTTTTGAAGCCAGGCTTCCGTCCGTACCTATCAGCAAGGTTGGAGGTAAGCTCTGTAAAAGCCCGATGCCGATGACGTTGGCATCTTTCGTCATTGACGGCTCCTTGACTTCCACAAATCCCGCTACCGCCGACAGTATGTGGCACTTCGCGGCTAGCATCGAATTGGTATCCGACCTTCCGACAAACCAGAAGCTAGAAACGCGATCGAATCCAGACAGATATCATTGATACTGAACGACTACCACAGGAACTGGCGACAATTCTTGCTGCCGCAAAGACACGGAACCATGTCGCCTTGCTTGCTCTTGTCCTTCGCATCAACAGCGTCGTCGCTGACACCGTCGACGTAGTCGAACGTGAGCTGCTCTCCTCGGGGAATGTCGCGAAGCGCAAAGAAGGCAAGGTCGTGAATGTGTTTGTCGGCGTGATCTCCCACGCGCGCAAAGATACGCAAATTCGGTTCGCAGGAGTGATTGATGAAGCGAGTCGGGCCGGACATAAATTCGCCATCTATCTCGAGCGGGGGGCCTTGCAGGCGCATGTCAGGGGAGTCTTCATCCGTGAACTTGTCGAGTGCGAAAAGGTACACGTCCTTCTGTTGCGCAATATTCGACGTATCCCGTCGGCGTTGGGCTTCCTGTGGTGTAATGATCTCGCCAATGTAGTTATCGACGAACTGTCCTCGTCGAATGTCGAGCAACGATCGAACACCTATTCTCATAGAGTAAGCTTCTCTCCAGCATGGCAGCAGCCTCTCAGCTCAACTCACCCCAGCCCGTCTTCTCAGTCCGGAAAATCTGAAGAGGAACCTGACGACCTCTCTCGACCACCCTGTTAGGACAGGTCACGTCGCATGCGCAGCCTTCGTGGCACTCGTAAATGGGCCGCGTCGAGCCCAGGAATTTTGACCGCAGCAACCCAGCTTTGACGCCGTGCATATGGTACATGTAGGCCTTCTTTCTCGCTTCGCCCTCGTCATCTGAGTCGTCTTCTTGCTCCTGCAGGCAGAGACAGCCCGCATACTGGCATTCTTCCTCGTCTTCACATTCGCATCCGCTTCGGAAACTATCCTCTGCGGCTTGTACCCCGTGGCCGAGCTTTGAGTGCTGCAGAAATCGAAAGTTGGGCGGTATTATTTCGTCGTCGACCTCGTTTACGATAGTGATTGGGTATTGTTTATGGTTCGGAAATGCTCGAATCTGGCACCATTGGCAGTCCAGCTTTTCTCTCTCAATGGCCTGCAGTAAATTCCAGTCAGAAAAAGCTCCCATCGTGTAGCAGTGTCACATAAATGATCGGGAAAGTGCATTGCGTTCGTAGGACTGTGGGATACTCTACTCTGAGGGCGGTCTTGGTTGCGCCAGGCTTCGGAGCGCCGTGGTGGAAGAAGTGGCGCTCAGTTGCTGCCTCCATGTTATGCGCTGTTATGTATTCGCGATGGCTCGGAAACGTTGAAAGGCATCCCGAGAGTGACGGAGAGGGAACATGTAAGTAGGTGGAGGTGTTCGCAGCTTATCCATGGTCGGAGCTGGAACCGCGGGGCGACTTGACCATCGGCGGCAGGAACCACCGACCACTTTACGCGACGCGTCCAAGCTCTCTGGACTGCTGACTCAACCGCCAATCTGGTAGGGCCGCGTTCGGCGGTCCTCTCCGGCCTGGAACCTTCTTCTCCCTTCTCTCAACTATTCATTTCTACAACTTTACCTTTCCCCAGGACAGTCACGATGCCTTATCAAACATGATGGTCTACGGACATACCAACAAGGCGACATATCAAAGAGAATGACAAAACTCGACGCATGAAAGTGGACTGCTATTCTCTAGACGACTTACACTTTCCTGGGCTTGTTCTTACACTGAGGCTTGAACGTAGACCCAAGCTCGCCCCATTTGATATTGCTGAACGTCACAACCGGGTTCGGCTCAACCTTGACAACGTTCTCCGGGAATCCTTCCGTCTCATTGCATGGCCCGGCTTCCGGCGCACCGTCCAGCCACCTCATCCCACCGCCGGCATCCCACCAGATGCTAAACGCAAGCACCACGCCCCGATCAAACGACTCGCCCATCTCCCGGTGCGCCCCGAGATCCATGAACCGCCGCGAGCCCGTCGCCGCGCAGAACTCATCGTTGAGGTAGTTGACCTGCGGAAGATCTGTGTTGTTGACGACCTCGCTGCGGATCAGGTGGCCGTCTTGGATGTAGAGGCGGTGGATCTCGGTGAGGACGCCGGCTTCGTTGGCGGGGAACTGTGTGATGACTGTGAAGGGACGCGTGGTGTCGACATCGAACCCTGAGCCGCGGCCGTAGAAGTCATCTTGGTTGACTCTGTTTCTAGGGTTAGGTTCTGTTCAATACTATTGGGCTGCAAAGCTGGTCACTGACCGGTACGGGTTCCAGGCACAACCGTTCTTGTCGCAGACGCCTTCAAAGGCACAGTCTTCGCCCTCGCAGAGATAGACACCAGTCTGGTTGCACGGGTGCGGCGCCAGATGAGCAGAACGCGAGTTGGCCTCCCATATGTCCTGTGATGGCACGTTAGTCGCTTCTTGAGTACCCACCAAGGACAGACAACTCACCATCTCATTGCAACATGCACCGTATCCTTCAATGTTGGCTTCACCGTTGATGAACGGCGTAGTATAGCACTGGGCGTCACAGTACCCCGTGCCGTGACGAGCGCCACCAGTGTTGAGCGCGCTCTTGCCACCGTCGGCCTCCATCTCAGAGGTATACAGGGCGCTATTCATGCCACACGGCAACTTCGATACGTCGACGTCAAACGTGAACTCCTTGCCCGTTAGGTGCATCATCTCATATTGCTCCTTGGAAGGGTCAAGAAGATACACGCGCGGAGACACCTGCACGCCGTCCTTGAGCTGGTACATGGTCATGGCGCCGCCGTTCGTCGTGACGCCGACGCGGCTGTAGTCGTCGAGACCTTCCTGGACACAGTTCTCGGCGCAGGCCTCCTTGGTCGGGCACGCCGTCTCGTTGGGCGGACTGCCCCAGGAGCCACAGCTTCCACCGCCGTTGGCCTGGTAGACGTTGTGCGCGAGGGAGTCGAGGACGATGAAGTTGTTGACTTCAGTGCAGCCGCCGGCCTTGGTACAGCGCCATGTCGTGAGTGGGGGGTGGTTCTCTTCGGGCCCAATCTGACGCTGGGCCGCTGCCAGGCCTATGAAGAGAGTGGCAAGGCCCAAGCGGGACAGAGAAGACGCCATCATGACCGGAAAGCCGTGATGAGTTCCTGAAAAGAGATATTGCGACGATTGCGCCGGTAGACAGAACAGCGCGCGCCTCGACCAAACAATCGGGAGAAGGAGGTCTTCATATATGTTCAGACCCCTCCGTCCAACTTAACCATGGCTGTCGGGTCTCTTCCCGTTTATCCATTATGAACTCGCTCAGGGGTGCATTGGCAACGGAACGCGCTCTCCAGGGAGCCAAATTTCCGTGATTGAGCTCTATTCCTTCTTCCTGTCCCGTCTTGGTCCTCTTGAGGCGAAGGAAGGTCACCCTCCGAAGCCTTTGTCTGGCTGTCTGGGCGCTGTGACATTGATTGCCGACAAGGGTTCGCAGCTTTGATTCAAAGGTTATCCGCCACGAGGTAAGTTGGAAACAGGCCTAGTGCCATGCTAAATGTGCTTGGGTAGTCAAACGTTCATTATTCCCCAGCTCCCTTCCCTCGTGGCTTCACGGTAGAACGGGCCAGGAACCGTGCATGGGGGGAAGATCTGGTCGCTCGCTTGGATGCGACTCTACCCTCCCCTTCCATCTTTGTGCAGATGAACCTGCATTTGGTAGATTGCCCGACTTGATGAATCATCCAGTCAGGTCGCCCTTTAGAAGTCCGTCGATTAGCCGACCACTGTTCCTGGCAGGGGTCGCATTTATACCAGTCTTTCAGTCATTTTGCTCTTGGTGTTTGTTGGAGGATGGAGATGAGCAGAAAGCGGAGAGAATCAGAATTAAGGACGGCGGCTTCCGCTCGACTACCCCATTTCTCCGCGTGAAGCAATTACAGGGGTGTTCGACCAGGGTTTAGTGAAGCGATCCATCTTGAACAGTCAAAGAGGGGGGGATAGCTCTTCCGGCTCGGATTCTGGCCCTCTGGGGTGGATGCCAAGCTATTCTGCGCCCGTAGCAGAGAGGCATGCCACGCAACCTATTGCTCGCCTTAAGTCTTCAGCCTTGATGTTGCTATAGGTTATAGAATCCATAAGCTCGGCCTGAGATCGGAAATATTGGACATCATCTGTGGCCTCATTGTGGAGATGTCAAATATCGCTATCACCAGCGCCAGGCAGCAAGATGTTGTCGGAAGATGATTCGCGAGTCGCGTCTTACTTGCATACGTCAGTCCACAATATTGCCAGAAGGGGTTGAAGAAGGACCAAATCCTTGGAATAACAGAGTCCAAGACTGTTGCGTCAAGCAATACTAAAGCGATGTATGAACGAGGTTTTGTCGAGATAATGCGACTTCTCGTGCCTCATAACCCAATGTCTTGAACAAAAGAGGACTGAAAATCCCTCATTCGAACGACAGCAATTGAACTTAGCCCAGTCAACGACGGCAACATCGATTCCAATTGACGATAGGTATAGACGAACAAGTCAAGGATCTTTGCAGACACACTCTGACCGAGACGTAGCAGCAGCAATGGGGTCATCAAACACCGACATTACCGCCAAACTCACCGAATGGCACGAGGAATGGTCCAGCGAACAGACCGACAACGATATTTGCACTGCCTACGTCTTCTCCCCTGAGTGGGAGTCTCTAGTTCCCCCTCGATGGGCCGCATACGATGACCTGGAAAAGAGACGCCTGACCGAGGGAGCACCGCGACTAGAATGGCAGGACTCAGTTGACCAAAGCCGGAAGGCATTGTTGGCCATGAAGAACTTGCACTTCAAGCCCCTCGAACCTAGGCTGTGGCCGGTATGCCCGCTGTGGGTTCATCTAGCCAGATACAAGGGAGGGCCAGACTTCGATGGCCATAAGAGGCTGCACGGCTGGGCCTCGCTCCTCGATGACTGGGAGGAAATCCAACGCTTGATTCGAGATGAGCCCGAGTTCTGCCGCTCACTTTCGCCTGCTCAAAGAAGATCGTTTGACCTTCTCCGATACTGGTGGAAAGCGGCCTACTGCAACGAAGAGCTATTGCGTGCCACCTCTACGCGTCTAGAAAAGAACCGACCGTTTTGGACGATATCAGATCCTTCCGATGGATACAATCTTCGTCGCATCGCCAGCGAAGTCAAGACAGACACCTCCCTTTACCACTCGCATCTATTCAGGCTCTTCCTCTTCGAATTCAATCCGATGTTTTGGGAGCCTTTTCTCTCCCATATGAAGCTTTCTAGACTTCAGCATGCCCGGTATCGATCTTCTTGTATTGCGACCATTCAAAAACTTTCCTATCCAGTGCTACATCCAAGCCATTCTCCTGCCGATGAACAAGTCCCATATCCTACCGTTGTTCAGAATGATGCGGAACACCAGAGAATTACTGCTGCCCAAGCGAGCATCAACCCGTACTATCTTTGGGACAACGAAAGTCAACAGACAGTCACCGTGGAGGAGCTGCCCGAATGCCCTCCATACGTATGTATCAGCCACACATGGGGTCGCTGGCGAACACGAACCGACACAACTGTTCCCGGAGTACCGTGGCTGGTCCCAGAAAACACCATTTATGATGTACGCGATCTTCCCGGACAGCTCAAGGAACTTGGCTACCGCTATATCTGGTTCGATTTATTCTGCATTCCGCAGGACAAGAGCGATCCGAGGGCTGCCCAGGAGATTGCGAATCAGGCGTCAATTTTCAAGGGATCGAGCCACTGCATCGCCTGGATCAACGACGTCGAGTCCTGGCACGGCGTGCTAGCCGCATTAGACTGGATGAGTCTCAAGTCGCAGTCAATCTTGTCGAACCGTGACACCGACGCAATCAAGGACAGAATAGCCGAAGCAACACAGGGGGCCACAGTGGCGATGGAGCTGCTAAAGAAAAAGCGCCGTGAGGGAATGGAGGATCTATTCGATCTTGTTGACGATCTTACGGCAGGCGAGCCAACCTTTTGGATGTCCTCACTATGGACTTTGCAAGAATGCATTCTCTGCCCTGAAATCCAGCTGTATACTCGCACCTGGACCAGGCTGGAAGATCGGAGCGGGACGGCAATCTCGTTGAGAACCCTCATGGTGATTCTCAGAGACACTCGAGATTTCAACATGCTGCCAGAACCCATTGGAACCTCCTTCAGCGAGCCCTTTCAGTACGATGTGAAACTCGTGAATGATCCGAACAGGAAGACCATTCAAGACAGCGCCAGCGACCGGACGTTTCCAAGTGCAGTGAGGGACCTCTACCAACTCTGCATAATGACCCGGCTTGACAACGCTCTCACCGCCGGCTCACCCACAACCATCCTCACAAATGCGAACCTTCGACACTGCTCATCCAGCCGCGCTCCAGCCATCATGTCTGCCGTGAGCGTGACGGACTGGTACGTCGAGAAGCTCGAAGCTTCAAAGTCTACCAGCAAGCCTGCCCCAGCGGAGCCCATGGTCTACGGAACATACCCCCTCGCTTTCCTCCGCGAATGTTCGCGGAAGTTTGGAGCAATCTTTTACCAAAGTATGGCCAGGAATCTCGTTCGTTCCACGGGCACGGCCAACGAAATGCGACGGGTCCTGAAGCGGAACGAATCTGGTGGGACCATGCTACCCGTGTCCAAGACCACGGGCTGGTATGCCGGTATCTCGGGATCCTCGGATCATACCTGCCTTGATCGTCAAGATCACGAGACAGTGGCAGATTGGCTTATCAATGAGGACGCGAGCGTTTCTATGCGCGCGGTGGGCATCGCCTTGACATCGGATGACAAGCCGGGGCCGCGCAAGTTATCGGGCAACGTTGACTGCTTTTTACCTCAGGACGACGTGATAGCGGACAATAAATCAAAGAGATACACGGCGAATGTTCAGGATATGCTGGCGACGCTAAAGGACTTGAGTAATGGGTCGCGGCGGATCTATGCGGTTGCGCTCTATGAGGACTTGGGCCTCGTACACGGCGTATTGCTGGAGAAGTTGCCTTTGTCCATGTTTGGGAAACACTATCTCAACAAGATTGGTCAATTCTTTTTGAAGAATGAGTCTCTTCCTCCGACTTCAAAAGTCGATTGGAAGGTGTTGTAGAGGCTGCACAGTCTCTGTGTCTTGCACAAGTCATCAGCCGATTGAGATGGTAGGATATATGGCGCGAGCTCGTATACTTAGAAGAGTTGCAACATTCCTTCTCCAATGTGAACGAAGGCTGAAAATGGGACGGTGTATATATGCGCGTTTCTCTTTGCCCAAGTGTTTCCCCGGTCATTGAAACCAAAACCACAATCTTAAAGTCCTTTTAGCATCTCTTGCACCCTCTTCCTACCCTCCCTAACCGACGTAACCTCCTCCATCCGCAGCGTAGCCTCAACACACGCCTTCTGGCCAGCCAATACAACCCTGAAGTCCTTCACGAGCGCAGCCGCCACCGTCTCCTCCGTCCGCGAAGTGCCCTCCCACCCGAAAAGACGCACAAGATGCATGACCAAGACGCTCCACAGCTGCTGACCCAGCCAGAGGTACTGCATAGACTCGTTCATCCACGGCAGCAGTAGCAGTCCCGCGGGGAAAAAGAGGACAAAGGCGTACACCGTCACTATGCTGGCTACCTCCCTTGCGCGGTCGAGGGCGCTGTCGCGGATTGGGTGGCCGTAGTGGCGGAAGAACTGGAAGCTTGCTTGGGAGGCTGGGGAGGGGGTAGAGATGAGGAGGAAGCCGATGGAGGGGACCTCGACCTCGAAGATTTCTGTTTCCTGGTGGTGATCTGGGGAGGCGGGTGTTGGGTCCTTCTTAGTGATTGGAGCTTCGGCTGCTGGTGAAGATGGAGCTGTTACGTTTAGGGTCGACGATTCGGGTGAGCCTTCGTCGTGTATCACGCTCTCTCGACGAACGCGCGCCACCGCGGCAAAAAGCTTCAGGAAGAGAGGGATGCAAAGGAAGCCGATGAACCATTTTGCTGGGGCGTCTTGTCCGTCTCTACTTTGGGTTGACCAGATTCCTGCAGCGACTGCAAGGAGGATTGAGGATAGCTCCGACACAACAATACCTAGCAATGTTCTCAACCCGAAGTTTTCGTTAAATGCCTTCAGTTGTGGAGACGCTTCGCTTCCTTGACTGGATTGGAATTCCAGATCAAGACGGTATATCCGCCTTGTAGTCCTGATCGTGTCTGCCGGTGCCTCACCTCCCTTCTTCAGTCGTACAGTATCCGGCACCGGCGCCGGACCGGCCCCGGTCCAAGACCCGCCCAGACCGATGCGATCGTCAACATGCTTCAAAACCTCAATCCAGAAGCCATTCCGCACGGCCCGTGGTAGCTTCCGGCCTTCGGGGGTGGTTGCCGTCTTGTGGAGGTAATGGACGCTGGCTTTGTCGGAGAAGAAGGTGGTACCGAGCATGTCGCCCCGCCGGCGACCCTTGTACAGGCCGTGATCGCGGAACTTATCCAGCGTCTCGAGGGCTGCGCGGTGGAGGGGCCCGCCCATGGGCATGAAGAGGGCCAGGCGGATGAGCGCGATGGCGTCAACGGCGTTGTAGAAGCGTTCCGGCCATAAGAGGCGTTCGAAGAGGCTTATGCCCGCGACTTCGGCGCCTAGGTAACCCAAGACTGCGCCGAGGGCCGATGATGTTGCTGACATTTTCTCGATGTTGTTATCACTACCTAAAATGCGGTCACGATGAGGGAATCTTGGGTATGTTTGATGGGGCAAGAGAAAAGAAGAGCTGGAAGGGCTATTGAGTGGACTTCAACCCGCCTTTTAATATGAAAGATTTTCGGTGTGCTCAACTTGAATCCTTCTCTTATTCAAAGCAAGAGTTGAAGCTCAGTGAGGTTGGCTTGCTTTACTGACATTTGGAGAAGCTGATGTGATACCGCGTCCTGCACCAGACCCTGGTCTGCATGTCAGATTTGTCTGCTCATTCGTCCCAGGAGCGAGCCGTGGGGCTTGACGCATATGAAGTGTAATAAGTACTGCAGGTCATTGCTGCTTACGTCTGACGTTCTTCGCAACGTAATTATGCCTCATTTGGGACTTTGGTATTCCTCTTCGTTCAGTGAAGCGCTTTTGGGAAGATTTCTGCCTCGCCGAGAGCCTCACAGCTTTGCTACACAATACCTATTGGGGGTTGTTGATAAAGTACGCCGACATCGGGAATACATCACTCCCAGTCAATAATACTCTACTGGTATGGTAAGTGCAGCTCGGCGACGGATTCGTAAATCATGAAACACAATAGTCATTGACATGCATGACATTCAGGAAAAGTTAACTGCCTTGGAGGACATCGACGACTTCTGGCCGCGGTTAACTGCCTCAGAAAACGCCGATGACTACTGGCCCCGGCGACTATTACACATACCAACACTGACATCAATCCCGAGAGACGAGCGCAACGTCTATGGAACAACGGAGAAGCCAAAGTACAGCATCCTCACTTACACTTGGGGCCGCTGGAAAATCAGGCATGACGACCATGCCGTCCCTGCATTGCTGGTGAAGGGCGTCCCGTGGAAGATACCCTCAATAAGAGAGTCTCACTTCACGGTGGACTCGTTCCGGGCCGTTGTTGATTCCATGGCGTTTGAGGACGTTGAATGGGCATGGGTTGATATCGCTTGCATAGATCAAGAAGACGAGATCATGAACGCGGAAGAAGTCGGTCACCAGGTCGCTATTTTCGACAAAGCAGTCAAGGTGCATGTTTGGCTGTGCGAGGCAACACAGGAGAGTCTCACGAAGGCTTTTCACGACATGAACGACGGCCAATTGGAATCCATCACTTTCAGCACCTTCAGCACATTAGAAAACCAGCTCATGCCCTCGTACATGACCTGGGAAGACGTTCGCCACCAGGAGTACAGGATGACGGCCGTACGCGAGACTATCGACCGTATTAGTTCTGGACTGCAAACCGTACTCAACGATCCCTGGTTTTCATCTCTGTGGACCTTGCAGGAGGCCGTGTTGCGCAATGATGCTGTGATTTTGAGCGCAGAAGGGCTTCCATGTGTTTGGATCACGTCCGATGACGGCAGAAAGTATCAAGCATATCTTGCAATGTTCGTCAATTTTTGCAACAACATCTACTTGGATGTCGTCAATATACTACGAGGCCTTGAATCCCACGAACAGATGGGCTACGACTTAAGCGACTGGGAAGTAGACATGAAGACCAAGATCGAAAAGACGCAATCACTCCTTATCCGTTCCGGCATGTATAAGTTGCCTACATCGAACCCCAACATCCCTTACAGCATGGCATGGTCTAGGCAGACCTCGAGACCGGTAGACCGCATCTATGGTATTATGCAAGCCTACAACCTGCGTGTGGGCAAGGTCATTCGGCCGCATGATAACCCTTCCCTGGCAGATCTCGTCCAAGAATTTGCCTTGGCAATAGTCAACAAGAATCCCGTTCTCAGCCAGCTGTTTGTTCACACAGAAAAGCCTGCCGAGTCACTAAGCTGGCGCATCACGGAGAACTCGGTTGTTCCGGCCAACTTTAGATCGCCAAGAGGTTACGTGGTGAAAGCTCGATTTTATCTCCAAGGACAAGATGTCATGAGGGCACGCGGTCGAGTCTGCCGCTTGACTGATGCCCTTGAAGTGCAAGATAAACTTGTTCAATTCCTCAAGGAGACAGATACGTCTGAATACGCAGAATTCAAAGACGTGGACCACGACTACGACCGTATCAGAATCATGACAGATGCCGGATTCACACAAGAGCATCTGAACCTCAACGGCTACTTGTCGCGGTTCGATTTACCGGGGTTCGGTTGGCTGTTTCCTCAGAAAGCTAATTTGCCATTGATTCTCCGCGACTTATGGGTATTCCATGTTGGAGATATTGATTCAACTCGAGGAGAACTTTTGAATATCCCTGAGAGCATAGCTGTGCTGCTTCGTCCCGCAAATCAGCCAGCCAATTCAGGCAGTGATAGTAGCGAATGGGCGGACGTTCCTTACATGCGGGTTGGACTTTGCACCTGGGGACCGGAGGAGGAAGAAGGAAAACGCATGATGAACGAAGACATTGACTGGAAGTCTGTGGATTTTGAGTTCCACTAGAGCTCTGTTTCTAATTCTTTTCGTTTTACCGCATCGATGAATAATTCAATGAAGGTCTTTTATTATGCCAGTTGCTAGATGGGTCCGTACATACTTGCTTATGAACATACTTTCCCGAGGGGCAGCGACGATATATTTGTCCGACCATTCCGCTTGTATCCGCCTATGAATGATTTCGAAATAAAGTAGCAGCTGAGCGAGGACCGAAGCTGAGTATAGGGACTCCGGCGAAGCCCATAGTGGATGTTACCTGCAATGAAGAGAAGCCGTCGATTTGTAATTTTACGATTCCACGTCGTATGTAGTTCATGCATCTCGACCCGACGTGATAGACGAGTCTCGTCGCCTCTGGAATTATTGAAACTAGTTCTGAATATCTCTCAATCATTCCCATTGTCGCTGGGTTTTCTTTGCAATCATTGGTAATGAGTCTTGATAACATCAACAATCACACCGTGATCCTCATCCTGTTTCAGACCACTGACAACCACAACAGCCACAACGCCCTCAACTCCTTGCACACGGATGGGCACGCCGCCACCGTGAATGGCGTACTTTCCAGCCTGTTCCGTGCTCATACCAAACTTTGAGGCAAAGAGCTGCTCATCGCCGCCCAGCTTGTTGTGAAGTAGCCAGGTGCTGCAGCCCCATCGGAGCACGGCGTTGCGCTTGCGCTGCACCCACGTCTCGTTGTCGGGAAGAGAGCCGGATCCGACGGCCGTCTGGAAGAGCACCTGTTGGCTGTTTGCCAGTGCAATCGAGATGACTGTGGGCTTCTTGTTGACGAGGGCGAAGGGGAGAAGTCGGGCATGAAGGAGATGTCCTAGTTCAAATGCATCCTCATATGTGAAGGACTGAAAGGTGATGGAATCACACTCTTGTTGAATCACCTCGACCTGCAAGCTTATTAGAGTTTGCTACAGCCTCATTGTCGTTGTGCTGGCTTATGTTGCTCTTGGGTAAAACTCACGTCGTGAGGCGGCGAAGGGATCGGAGTCGGAGCGGCGGCAGGGTCGCGGACAGCAGCGAGTGACTTCTCCAAGCCGAAGCCTGCGGGGTGTCGGCGGGTCCAGACTTTTTGAGACATGTTTGGTTGGGGCGCTGAAGCTTGCGGAAGCGGTCTTAACCTTTCGAGATATGTGTTGAAGAGTGAAGAGTTGTTTCGCGGTGCTTTTGGTGATGAAGCTGCCGACGGAATGCTTTCTGATGAGTCGTCGTCGTCTCTGTCCTGTAACTGAAGAAGTAATCAAGTTATTAGATAGCAATTCTTCCCCTTCCGTGTTCTCGGCGAGCGAAAGCGGCGCTATTGTGCTCTTAATAATTCCCTAACGAGAATGCATCCCCCCCCCCCCAATCCCATCCCACACCGGCTGGGTCCCAACCGTCATGCAGCCCACTTGGTGCTTCTCAACTGTTACAGTTACCCTATTGGGAATGGAGAGTTCAAGAACTTACGGAGCCGGGCCTCTCTCCATGTTGCATGATAGGCTGCAAGAGGGGTTTTGTGACGGGTGCTGTCGCGCTCGATGCTGGGGTTTGCGCTGCGCTGCTGTCCCGCGCCGTGCTCTCTGCCGCTGCCGGCGGTGCGCTTGCTCGCGCGCTGAAGCTTGACTGACCTACGGCTGCTGCTGCTGCTGCTGCTGCTTCGGCTGTGCCATTTCGCCCATTCTTCTTGTTGGGCGTCTTGGAATATCGATATAGGCCCCATTCTCGGAGCCGGCGCTGGAATGTCTTGCCGTTGACTTCGTATCCCTTTGCGGCGAGGCCCTTTAACATGCTCTCGACCGTCTCGCGCCGGTTGAACGCCGCAATGATTTCATCCTTGAAGGGCTCCAGGTCGAGACGGGGCCGTCCGGGAGGCATTGTCATTGTCCGAGCGCTTTCGCACCGAGTACATGTATACTTTCCACGGCACGGCCCTTTCAATCATGGGTACATATGTGATTGTAGGCGCGATTCAATAGGTGTAAGGTAGCTGATGAGATGTCCGCGAAGAGATGGCGGGTATTGATCCTAGGCACACGGGCGCCGCTTTCGCCGGATTGACGATTTGTCTTTCTGGTCAACATTGTGGCTGACAGCCACAGTGGCTGATATGCCGCCCTCAAATCCTGTCTCTCCCGACTAGCAACTCTGTCAAAGTTCAGAATCGTGATTAGCAAATTAGAGTTGATTGAGGGAATTGCGTCTCGCTCGCATAATACAAATTCTCAAGATTTCCACTATCGAATACTTAGTTGTGATTTTGGGGCGACGAACCTACTCACTCACTCAGCTCTAAGACGATTGTAAGGCTTTGACCCTTGATCATTTTCGTGGTTGAAGTTGCCGAGGATATTGAGTTCAACGAACCATATAGCCGTCTTGAAACTCCGCAAGTTGAAGAATGCAACATATCGGGTTCGCTTTCATTGTAAAGCCTAGTGCCAATGTGATGGCTGCCGTGCTTCGTATTCGTACCCAAAGTCCGCCGCCTTCGCGGACTGTAATGAACCCGTGCGGATGAGACAATTACTCTTCACTTGAGATGGCATCCCTGAAGCTTCATCAACTCAGTTTCTGTAGATATAAAGCACATGTAGCCTCTTACTGACTGTATCATCCGAAAGCATTGAATCAAGCCTAATTATACCGGCAACAGCGCGAGCGAATTTTTATTTCCGCAATTTCCTCTTTTCCACCTGCCTACTTCAGGTAGTGTCGTTTTTTGATAACTCAAACAAGTTGAAGCTACAAATATAGTACTTCCTGTCGACATGACCTCCCTCCCCCGCGCAGTCCAGACTATTATAGACAAGGATGAGATCCGAACCGTCATCTACCGGTTCGCTCGTGGAGCAGATCGCCTGATTCGCAACGTCGTCCAGTCCGTCTACCACGAAGATGCCACAGATAACCACGGGACCTACAACGGCCCAGCCAAAGACTTCTTCGACTCAATGGGCTCTGATTCAATCAAGACCGCCCATCACCAGATCGGTCAATCTCTCATTGAGATTGAGGAAGATGGTCGCAAGGCGCATGCTGAGACGTACTGCACCGCTACAACGATCGTCGGAGTTGGACAGGAGGAGAAGTGGACTACCTTCTTGGTGCGTTATGTTGACAACTTGGAAAAGAGAGAAGGTGAATGGAGGATAACGCACCGTTTCTGTGCGTTTGACGGCGCTTCTGAGGGTGCTATTATGAGACATCTGCCGAAGGAGAACCTGGGTACCCGTGACGAGAGTGACTACTCTCGATGTGTCTTCAAGGATTAGAAATCTTTGACTCTTACACTTTTCCAGGAGTTCATGTAAAATAATGAAATGGAGGGACTGATCCTCGAAATATTCGATGCTTACCAAGCACTCCGTGCTTCAAGGCTCAAGTCATGGCATCAAGTCTGGAAAAGTAAAGATCGTTGACAGACTCACAAAATATAAGAATGAACATAACCCGACTGAATGTATACTTCATTAGCCTAAAGCAACGTTCCTATGCGTGGGAAGCCTGAGAGGCTGCATAGGGATGTCAAGTCGGTTCATTTTGAGATACAGATTTCTACTTACAACCCCAGGACAAAGACGGAAGAGATTCAGATCACGTAACCCGGCTTTTGTTTGCCCAAATATACGACAGCCCACAGAAGTTTGTCAAAAGCTGAGTGGTTGATCCCTTGAAACACCAACCTCGCCAATTGGATGTCTTATTGGTGCCCCAGTCCAGACGAAGTGCGGTAGGTGGCTTTACGACCTCAAAGGAAATCGAGGCAAGGATCAAAAATCGGAAGATCTGCCAGCCTGAGCTATAAGGTGGAAGCTGCCCCGACTAAAGTTTCTCTCAAGACATTCCCCATTCCCAAGCGCAGGGCTATTCACGATGTTGGTTCGTAAGGTCCCGGTCCTGGCACCAGTCAACGACCCCGAATTTGGTGCTAGTAACAGCAGCCCGTCAACTCACGCCCCCCTCCTCGATTATTTCCCGCCCACCCGCGAAGCACAAATCCGCTGTCACCAAAGTGCGACTTCCTCTCCGAGTCCAGCTGTGGTGCGGATAAAGACAGTCATCGAGCTTGGTACGAAGGCATTCGTCATCCGGGGCCAGCCTAATGTAAGTCTGGACGATACCTACAACAATCATAGCACCTAGCCTGTAACTGAAAGCCTTTCTGACAAAATCGGTACCAGTACAAGACGCAGCCCACCGACTCACCTAATATCAGCACCTTGTCATGTTTCGTTATCAGTGGTACATCCAATTTGAGAGATGATCTTGCAGAGCCCATGTCTCGTGGGCGCAGAGCGACGAGGAATTCTGTGAAGCCTTTCTGAAGCACATCTGCATTCTCTCAAACCAGTTAGAGATTGGAGAATCTGTCTTGCAGCTCCTCGCATCGTAGGATTGCCAATATCTCTTCCACATAATCGGCAGCGAACGTATCCCTCCAGGACCCTATTTTTTCTCCAGTAGTGGAATCTTCGGCCCTTGTCGCCTCTTCTCCGACGATACCGAATCTTTTGTTTTGAGAACGATACCAAGTCAAGAAGATCCTCAAACGTAAGTAGGCCGGCCGAGCATCACTTTACGCAGCCCCCCATTCCCCTATCTCTTTTGTCACCGCGGGATTAACATAATCAAAGGTATCAAACGTTGAACGCCGCTGCATTTGGGGCATCGTCGCTCTGTGTTGCAGTTCCTTCGAGGATCAACTCTTCTAAAGCTGATCATACGCCGTTTGCTGGACTGAGAGTTGCAGTCAAAGACTCGTTTCACCTCAAAGGAGTTCATACGGGATGTGGAAATCGGGGTTATTACGTAGGCTGCATGGACCTTCAAGTGCCTCTTCCGATGATGTACAGCGTGTCATCGACCTTGGAGGGGTCATTGTTGGCAAGACCAAGACTGTTGAGTTTGGAGGGAGCCAAGAGGTTATTGGCGACTGGTGCGACTACTTTGATCCCATGAATGTCCGTGGTGATGGATATCTCGCTGGGACTGGGAGCAGCACCGGATCAGTTTCACGCCTAGCAGCATACCCGTGGCTTGATACCACTTTGGGTACAGATGGTAAGCTAGAACATTTTGCATTGTTGAGTACTCTGCTGGAGGCCAAGTAAGTTGATGAACAAGCTGGTGGGAGCATTCGAGACCCTGCGATCGCTCACGGCGTGTTCGCTTTCAGCCCTTCACATGACGGGGGGCCAACCCCAGACGTGGTTCTTCCTGGCGGGTAAGCCTTTATGTTCATGTCCAAAAGACACGAGATTGATGAGACGGCTGGGATATTTCACACTCCCGGTTTCCTAGGAAGAGATATCCGCAAAATGCATGAGTTCGGTCGTCATTGGCTCCAAAACTCCTCCAAAGCTGAAGTGAGCACTACGAACGCCATTGATGTCGCCTTGACTGACGACGCTGCAGACTCTGAGGCCGAAACGTGTGTTGTTCCCACGGGAGTACTGATCCGACCATTCCGGTGTCCAACAGATTGCTGAGGACTGGGTGTTGTCCCTCACTGAATGGCTTGGAGCAGACAAAGTCGACATCTCCATGGAAGAGACTTGGAAAGCTACGAAGCCCCCTAGCGCTGAAAAGGGCTTCTTCGGCACATTCAATGAGGCGAGTGGATAGAATCCTAGTGCACTCTTGATGCTCTTGGAGTAGTTCATCGGCTGAGTGGACCTGTCCAGACTTTTATGACCTTGATGTACCGCGAGTTCTGGACCTACCTTGCAAATTTCAGGTCGGAATATCAGGAAAAATTCAAGGCGGATCCTTGCATGTGCAAAGTCACACAGTACCTATGGTAAGATCAGGTTTCACAATCTCGTGCCATACGCGCTGATGGTCCTGTCTCAGGGATAAAGGCAAGTTGATAAGCCAAGATCGTTGGCAGGAGGCTGTGGATGAAGGATTGCTCCACAACACTTAGTTTCTTGAACATTTGCTCAACGACGAGAAGACCATTATGATTGTCCCTCGATACAAATTGGACTACCGGGATGAATACTTGCCGTAAGAGATGTGAATGACTACCAGTGTAGTAACCTTGGCTAACTAAAACTTTAGCGTGCCCGAGAATCGAGGCTTTGAGGGCTTCGACTCCAATCTTCACGCTTCGTTAACAGGTGTGACAAACCAGATTGTGCCCGGTAAGAGTCGACCGTAAAATGACCAATGATAGTTCGAAGCATTCTAATGGAGCAACACAGTCAGTCAATGTGAATCTCAGTCTCAAGTTTCCGGGCGAAAAGAATACTTTCCCGTTTCTCTCTCCGTCATGGGACCCAAAGGTTAGTGAAACCCTTCCTTATCCCATCACAACGCAGTGGAAGAAGTTCTCACGGAGACATTGAAGGGATTAATGTTGGGCTGTTGAGCCTCGTTCATGACTATCTAGCCGAGAAAGGACTCCCCAGTTCTGTAATGACCGGCAGTACCGCGTTTTAACGTTCTCTGACATAGGCAGCGGAAGATTGATCTTGGTACGGACTTTTCCCTGACAACATAACTCATCTCAAGTAACGATTTACCGACAACGGCTGGTCCACCTATCATGGCGCAAAGAAGTAATTGAATTGATGTAGTTGGGGCAGGAATCATTCCGACCCAAAGTCTGAACCGGATTTGCAAGCATACCATGCAGATACAGTTCTATTCAGACAAAGCATCTGGCCCACCGGGTGGGTTTTTGAGTCGGCAGAACACGGAAAGCGAGACGCGAGGGCACTGCTGCTACTGTCTTCTAGACTTTCAATACAGAACTTCTCAGTCATAATGGGCTATTGACTTCGATATGAAACTATGGGTGAGTAAGCGAAGGCGAAGTTGCAAAAGCAAGCTTTCCGTCCGATACTCAAAATGGACCATCCTAGTTGAGATCGGAGACAAAACCGGACGAAGAGATAAACTTTGAGTGGTCTGTGTTGTGTCCAACTCACTGATCAACTCTTGCAATTCCTCAGATGCCAACTAAACGAAACCGCGAACCTGTGCCTTGACGAGAGCACAACTTGAGCCTCACTCTGAGCCAGAAACCACACCTCAACCGCAAGTCGTTTATGACAATGGCCGGTTGGCCCAATGGCAAGGCGTCTGACTACGATTCAATATGTTATCAGCAGATTCTGGGTTCGACCCCCAGGCTGGTCAGTTTCATTTTTGAGCGTGGTGGAAAATGGCCCCAAAATACGGCCGAGATGCCGCTTAGGGCATGACTTTTGAAGATTCCAGGGAATACCCCACAAAACCGTTGGCAATAGGGTGGGCCGAAGCACGGTTCGTTGGTTGTTCTCTGGGCGAAAAGCTTGCGTTCACCGCATCGTCACCGGCTAACCGGTGGAAGTTGCCGCTTGCGTGGACTAGGTGGTATCACCGTGGTAGCGATGATCCGACGCGTGAGCAGCTTGACGCGGTTCAGGGCCAGTCATACGCGTTCGAGGACCTAGATGGTATTAGTACCTAGATGATGGTGATACTGAACCATTGAGTTTACGTCAATTGTCAATAGGCAATCGAGCGCGAGAACGAGCGGATGCCATCATGTTTAAGATCTGGGGAATGGCGGCTTAGAGTCAGGGGATGCTCGTATCTCGTCGGCACCACCGCTCCGTCGGCGACCCGTGGGCGCCGGCAACGCCGTGGGACCCCGGTCGGCACTCTCGGCTTGTGGGAGAGCTCTTGGCTTAGAGGCTCAGTTGTTCAGGGCTCGTCGTTCGCCTGGACATTGTCCTGTTAGTTCTCTAGGGCGGGCTTGACGTCCCGGGATGACGCCAAGGGGCCTCTCGCGGCTTCGGCAAGTCTAATCACTCCAGGCCTGATACATCATATAAGGCAGGGCAAAGCCAACAATCTTGATAACTGCAAGCCGTTCACAATCGCATTGTGAAGTAGGCACAACGGCGCACTACAGGCGCACTGCAATCTACGCAAGACGATCAGCAACCAACGCATAAAGTAAAATCAAACTCTAATAACCGGCAAGTGGAACCACTCACAGCTCTGCCCCTGGCCAGCAACCAATCTCCCCTTGGTGCCTGACTCGTATCTCAACCAGGGTGAAGGTTTCAACCGGGACTCGGGTCTCATGCTGCCCCACACAATATCGAGTTCCCCTGGCTAAAAGACCGCGGACGAGTGATCACGACAGACGTCAACAGTGCTGCGGACGAGCCAGGTTGGTCCCTCTGACCACTGGGTCAAAAGTGCCCCTAATCCCGCAGTGGCCGAGCCTCCGGGTCCTGTCTCCTTTGGGCCCCGAGGAGGAGAACTGGAGTTCAAGGATCTTTATCAATACCAAGGTCCAAGTGAACCGTGCCATCTCCAGCGACGCGCTGTCGTTCGAACTTGTCCCCTTTCAAGTAGTGTTGTCCCCCATCCCCTCCTCCACAGTTACCTAAAAATCTTCCTCATCCCAAAATCGACCGCTTTTGAACCCCGATATCCCGCCCGGTGAACGCATTGAATGTGTTGGACATATCGAAAAGGAAACCAATGTTGAGAACGGATTCGGCTAAGGCGCTGCCCTGCTAGAGAAAACAAACAAGAAAAACAAACACGATTTCCGACGCGATCGTACGTCGACCGATCACGGGGCGAAGATGTCTCCGAGACATCGAAATCGAATTGTCCCGACTTCTTCGACGATACTCATATCATATCTCGCGTCGATAACTCATGCCACATTCACCAATGATTTCTCAGCGTACCCAGCAGCAGCGAGATCATGTCTTGACTCAGCCGCTGCAGCGTCCGGGTGTACCGGTGATACGGTGACGGAGATGAACACATGTCTGTGCGGGAATGGCGGAAACTTTGTGTTGGCGACGTCAAAATGCGTGAAAAAAGAGGCAAAAGACAAGCTAGACGATGTTTACGAGATGCTTCTGACCTCCTGCACGGATTCAAAAACACCATTGGGCATTTCGCAGGCACAATTCCTAGACCCCGAAGACGACGACGAAACCAAGTCAACAGCCTCTTCTTCATCTACTTCTCAGAGCAGCACAACACTATATACCTCCACGACCGCACCGCCGACCGAAATACCAGCATCTTCAACAACATCGACAACGACATCTCTCACGACGTACAAGAGCGTTGCGCCAGGAGGAGTCACAGTCACGGTGACGAGGGGAGTTGAGACAGTATCGACTGGGGCGGCGAGTGGAAAGCAAGGAAGCACCGCCGAGGGGGACCAAGCTACCACCGGCGATGAGGGACCTAGCCACACTGCTCTCGCGGCAGGACTTGCAGGAGGACTAGCAATCCTATTGGGCGTGTTGGCATTCTTCTGCTACAGGCGGCGGAAGCAACGCAAGGAGAGAAAGGGGCAGGTCGGAACCGGTGGAAAATTCGCAGCCTTATCTAGTGCGACAAGTCTCACCACGATGTCGGCCTCACCACCGCAAGGGCAGGCAACGACGGCATATCACGGCGTGAACGACAGACGACCTGATACGGCAAACACGATGAACATGGCAGTGGGCACTCCAGGATGGAACCGTCAGCAACAAGGGCCACAAAGTCCCCAGCATTGGCAGAACAACAACTCTCCTGGGCACTACGGACAACAAGCAGGAACCTGGCCATCACCAGTCGCCAACGGAGATGGGGCGACGGGAACGTGGGGAGTTTCGCCCGTCTCTCAGTACCGTCCGAACTCATCCAGGGGTCCCGAACCGTCACCACATGCTGGAACCTGGAACGCGCATGCCGCTGAGATGGCAGCCGCTCCGGTTCCCGCACCTCACCCTTCACATCCCTCAAATAATACATACTCTCCCGTCTTTGAATTGCCGGGAGATCAAATACAAGCCGTAGAGGCAGACTCGACACCAGTCGGCCAGGCTCAGCCTGTGGTGCAACCGCCTTCGCGTTCAATACAATCGACGCCGGCTCAAATGCAAGCACAACCAGCGCAACCAGCACCAGCTCATCACGGAATGCCGAGGCAGATCGACGACGCACTTCAAATATCGCGAGTAGAATTACCGCCGCCTCGGTACTCAGGCCCATCATCACCGGATTGGGTCAGCGAGGATAAGAAGTTTGGCTAGATCAAACTTGGAGGGGCCTTTTGGCCCAGATAGCTCTTCAGCATAATGATATTTTATAAATCTTGTAATACTACCCACATGTAGACTTCAGGGCACCACTGCCGCCATGACGCATGAGCCTCCAAATTTCACATAAGATCAGCAATCAGCCTATAAGATGATGTGATGTCATGACCATGCCTTTATGGCGCGACAAGGGTTCAAGAAGTACCACAGTCTGGAGTGAAGAAGACGCATAAGATAACTGACCCAAGTCATCGACTCCGTTACAGCCAAAGTGCAAAAAGAAAGACTGAGCAAAAGCAACTGTCCCTGGCAAGGCTCGAACTTGCGACCTTTGGATGTTTCAAGCTTCAAGCCTAGTCATACCACTTAGGTAATGATATGAGACCAACGCTCTTCCGACGGAGTCACAGACGATAATTGGTGAATCCACTGATCGTACGATCTCATGACAGATTTGCTAACCGGAAATCTGTCGCGGTCCGCGGGTTCATCAGTTGGGTTGAGATCCTGTTAGTTGGTCGAAGTTGAGCAACAAACTGGGGTTTTCTAGCTGGGTCTCACGGAAAAGCCTAGTCTTAAGCTAGCAGGACCAAGGTAGCCAGCCCTACGGATACAAAAGTCGTTAGCTTTGTCACTCACGTCACACGTGTTTTCCACATTCGATGCTCCTCCGTCCAATTGTTTTCCAGGCTTTATCCATTAGAATCACTGAAGCCACGTTTGGTTGAAAGGCAGAACGAGTTGACCGCTTCCTGTAACGAATTCGATCGAAGAGGCCTCTTGTCAACCTTACCAAGCCACAGCATGCGGGTGTCGTGTTCCGAACGCGCGTCTCAACACCGCTAGCCCGTTCTCTGGCCCTGATTGGGTCGGCCGAATCCTGCGGCTGAGCTACCAAACTTGCCAGAGTGCGGCGCAGGATTCCTGCCTAGCAAGATGGCTGAGTATCCAACCAAGACTTGGCATCTGACTGTTCGTAGCATCATCCCACCATTTGACTGATTATCGGCGGGGTCAGGCAACCCCCTGCCTCTAGATTTAACCATAAATCACCCCCCCAACGACCATGACCAGCGCCAAGAGCAATAGCAGATTGTAGGCGTGATTAACACTCCATCGAAACTCCGTCTTCAGTTGAAGATAATACATCGAGCTTGATAATGGCGGGATTCTCCTCCGCTGCGGTAACCACGAGTTGTGATGACATCACTCACCGAATTGTTTCCACGTCCGCTGAGCTCGACAGTCTGTTGAAGGCCATCGATCCTGGGAGCACAGCAGCGCAACACTTGATTTCGGTTTCGGCAAAACTCGATCAGTTTAGAGACACGACTGAGCAGCTCAGAAGGTCGCTCAATGACTCCTCAGCCATATCGCCCGGTCTGCGAAATGCTCTGGCTATCGCTATTCAGCCTTGCGCAGATGCCGCGGCAGTCTTAGACAAGCAGATACATAGACTCGACCCAGCAAACGTGACGAGCCTCAACTCCGATGTGATTCTGCAGTACGAGACCTATCATTTGACGAATACTCGCTTGTTCGCACAATTTGTCTCCGTAGCGCATATGTAAGCTTTTAGGATATCTACGCTCCTTATGGCTAGGTACGTGGTACTGATTCATTCACCTAGGTCAACTGTCGCTCAGCAGGATGCAAGACTCTCGTCTCCTGACGGGCATGGAATGTTAGAATCGGCAGTAGAGGCGTCTCAAATTGTTCTAACTCGTAGTGACATTCTGGGACCCTCAGACGAAGCTGGCCAATCTGCCATAGATATCGCAGCCTTCGCCGAAGAATTTGGGGACGTTCAAGCCGAGGAGCCATCCCCAGACTACACGTCTGGTAAAGCCAACAAGGGGAAAAGCAAGGCATCCGGCCAATTCTTCTCCTCAATCTCAAGCTCTTTCAAAGCGATGACCGCTGGCCTACGCGCCAAACCAGAACCCATGGTCATCGCCATGTGCCAGGCCGCCAAAAGCGGCGACGTGGGACACCTCAAAGGCTTCGTCTCGGAAGGAGTCAATGTTAACGGCCAGAACGAAGAAGGATACACGCCGCTCATTTGTGCCATCAGAGCCAATCAGAGACCAGCTGTCGAATTTCTCGTCAAAAATGGAGCTGATCGATCAACCAAAGACTCTTGCAGTGGCAAGAAGAAGCCCCCATTATTCCATGCTGCCGAATGCGGTTTTGTGCCAATCGCAGAATATCTCATCAATCATGGTTTCGAGATGAAAGAGCGTTCGTGGTCTGGACAGCCGTACTTCATCGAGGTGGCAAACAGCGGCCAGCTGGATATCATCAGACTCTTCTTGCGACGAGGCTGCGACGCCAACACAGCTGCTATTAGTGGCCGGACCATCTTTATTCACGCCATACTCAGCGGTAGCCTTCCACACATAAAGCTCCTGAAAGAATATGGTGCCGACGTCAATGCTAGAGATATTAGCGGGCAGCCTGCACTACATATGGCTTTAGGCCAGAACCGGATGGACATTGTCACGTTCTTACTAGAGCATGGCGCGGACCCAAACACCATGGACCTCACAGGCAGTACGATGATTATTTCCGCCCTTCACAAAAAGAAGTATGATCTTGTCAAGACTTTGCTATCCCGAGGCGCCGATCCGAATGCCACAGGGTTGATGGGCAAAGGTATATTATGGACCTTGCTGCAAAACAAAGATATGGAGGAAGGAATCAAGATTGAGCTCGTCAAATCGCTTCTGGCACGAGGGGCCAACCCAAATCAAGTCGATAATTGGGGAGAATCCATTATGAGCATGGTTATCACTCTCGGCAACACCGATCTTCTGCGCATGTTCCTTGCTCACGGCGGCAATCCAAACAAGAAAGTCAAGGATACAACATTTCTACTCTACGCCATTGATCAGAATAGACAAGAGGACGTAAAAGTTCTTCTCCTACACGGAGCGAACCCGAACGAAGCAGATACCAAGGGCAGAACACCCTTGCTCGAAGCGCTTCAGTCAGAAAACCACGCAATTCTACAAGCAGTCCTTGCCCACGGCGCAGATGTCAACAAGATGGGTCAGATCAAGCCGTTGGCGTTGGCAAGATTACTTCAGAACCCGGAGACCATCAAGTCGTTGAGGGACCGCGGTGCTCAAGCCCCAGAGCGGCCGGCGGCGGCGAGAGCACTGCCAACGCCTGTCAGTCCGAGGCGGCCAGTTTCGTCGTCTACTACCCAGATTCGACCAGTTGAAAGTGAAACGGATATGCCACCGCCCTACGTTGAGACCGGTGGTTTGGAGGAAGCTGGGGCGTCAAGCCCACCAAGCAGCGCCAGGAGACTTGTACAAGCCGGCTGTCTCAGCTTGCAAAAATCAACGTAAATGCCAGGAATTATGTCTCAAGTCAATAGAGAGTGGGAGTTTCGGGAGGTGCTCGAGGCCTGAATGACATTGTTGGACGGGAAGGGTAATGCGTATGGATGGCCATACTTCTTAATCACAATGTAATAATAACAGATGCTGAGTATCGCATGTATCAAATGCTGCTACGAAGTAATCAATCTTGGTCTCGAACCAGTATTTCTGAATCAGAACGCACGACTGAAATATGGTTGAGGATTTTGTTCTGAACTCTGCTTGACCAATTCAATGCTCATTGTCAAATCAGATAACGATTCGGTTTAGAGCCCAACTATCTTGAGTGCACGGTGACCAACCTCAACCTTTGATAGCAGTCTTGATAATCTGCTCTAGCCCCTCTCTGCCTATCGGTTCAATGCCGAGCAGCTTGTTGTCAGTCACAGGGAAATAACCAGCCTCTGTGCCAATGAAAGCACGGTTAATGAACATTTCAACCACTTCTTCACTGTGGTCCCCCTTGCTCCATCTCTCGTGAGCGATCTTCTCCAAGTCCTCAGTTCTCGAATGCTTGACTTCCCATTCCCCTGTTGGATCAATGCTTTTGGAAATCTCAACGATCTCATTTTGTGTCGTCTCAACACTGCTAATCTTTACCGGACGGTTTGCTGTCTCCTCGAGATGAGTGAGGATGCCAATGACGGCTTGTCCGATATGCGGCATGGTCGTTGCACAGAATTTGACATTGCCGCCATCCTTGATGTGAGCTTTCTTGCCCTTGACATCCACAAGAAAGTCAAGTGCGTACCCAGGCGCCAAGAAGGAGACATTCATGATGATGGTGTACGAGAATGATGGCCTTGCAGCTACCTTTTCATCGAGGTACTTGCGAATTGCAATCTTGGGCTGGTAGATGGGTATGACGGCTAGCTTGGGGTTCATGGTGTCATTACCGTACTCGGATGGAATCATTCTTCGTATGCCGGCGTTGAAAGCTGCATCGACAACGTTCCTCTGAATATGGATTACGTCGAATGCCAAGGCTGAAACAAGAGCGTCTTGTCCTCTGAGGGCAGCTTCGAGACTGGGGACTGACTCGTAGTCGACTTTCTTCACTGTAACGCCAGCAGGGAATTCGTGGCGAGACCCCTCACGAGTGAGAACAGTGAGCTCAAATAATTTCGACCTCTGTAGGACATCAAGAAGAACACGTCCTAAGAAACCGTTCGCCTGCAACCCTCGTCAGTTTGTGACACCTAGAGCATTTATTCGCTCGAGGGGGGATAATTGACTTACACCTGCAAGAGCAACATGCTTGATTGGAGTTGACATAGTGATAGATCGTCTGTGCGAGGAACACCCAAAGCGGTGGTGAAAGAGACTTTGATCCTTGAAATGTTGCGTTCAGCTAGTCGTGGGATAAACCCGTAAAGACCGGAGGCTTATTAAACTATGAAGATTAGGGGACTAGTTCAAAGAAGCATGACTGCCATATTTAACAACAAACGGCTATGACGGCTTCGCTTTCTCGACTTTATTTTTGATTGACACACATGTTCAGACCCGACGTCTCGGCCTGCATCACGCCGGGATCATCACACAACCCGTGTAAGTCCACACTTTAGAGTTCACCGGGACCGCCTGTCGGACAGACGGGTCACCGGCGACGGGTTTCTGCCCGTTTGGCATACCGCAATCAGCGGAGCTCTCGAAGCAAGGCCAAGAAAGCGACGATCTGAAGTCTCAGGAGCGGGATTGACCCGGTGAAAAACGCGCGCTCTGCAGGCGGATTGGAGGACTATCGTATGACTGTACCAGGCAACGAAGCATCGTACCAAATAAATCACAACTGATGACCCTGGTGTCATCCCAGCTCGACCCAGCTTGGATGTCACGAAACTAGGACGAGGTCAGATTGAATAGCAAGACCCAAGGCTTCAAGTACCTCCTTGTTAGAGCTAGGTTGTTGACACGTCAGGTAAGCACTGAGCACCGAGACCGAAGGTGTGGGCATAGACGTGCAACGATCAAGCAATTGAGAGGATGGAAGTACTTGCCGTTGTAGTGGAGGATATACGAGCCGGATGATGTCCATCTTCAAATAGCAGAATTAATGTGTCTAAGTCCATTGTTTGGGACAAGACGACGGATGAGTCTTGGGTATAAAAGTCCTCGTACCCTTCACCTGACGCCCCAGTAGTGCAGAGGTGCTGGTCGAGACAAATTTAAATCAAGAGTCTTGACAGGCACAAGCACATACCATCATATCATCCTGAAGCCACCTCTCGTAATTATGTTGACCCCCGTTTTGACGCTGGTTGCGTCTGTTGCAACTGTTTTCTACTCCCTTTACATTATTGTTTCTACACACCTTCTCCGTCACCGCATGAAGAGAGAATATGGCACACTTCCGCCCAAAAAGCTACCTCAAAAAGATCCCGTCTTCGGAACTGATGTGGTACTTCAAAACCTGGACGCTGCAAAGAAATTCGGCTTCCTTGCTCTCCTGAAGAAACGCCATGCCGAGCAGGGCCAGACTTTCACCACGAACACATACCTTCGCACTACCATCAACACTTGCGACCCAAAGTTAATCCAGACTGTGCTATCTAATCAGTTTGAAGACTTTGGAATGGGCCCTTTGAGAAGAAAGAGTGCATCACCTCTCCTTGGCCGAGGCATTTTCACAACCGACAACGAGACCTGGGCCCATCAGAGGGCACTCATCAGACCAAGCTTCATCCGAGCTCAGGTGACAGATTTTAGCATCTTCGAAACACACGTCAATCAGCTTATACAGCTAATCGCCCGGGAGAATTACACCATAGACCTGCAACAGTTATTTTTCCGCATGGTACGTCAATTTTACCGCAACGGCCACTCTTGTCTCTGACTTTTGGATTGCTAACATTTATACATGTAGGTTCTTGACTCAAACAGCGAATACCTTTTTGGAGAATCAGTTGGTTTGATGTCAGACTACGCTTCCGACTCTGCCCATACTTTCCACCATGCTCTCGATTACGCCCAGCAAGGAACAATTCTTCGACTTCGCCTCGGTAATTTGATGTTCGCGCACAGAGACGCCAAGTTCAGGGATTCATGTGGCATTGTGCACGCATATGCCGACAAGTTTGTCAAGCAAGCCCTTGAGTTCCGCGAGCACGAGAAGCTTTGCCCTATGGAGAAGAAAGACGAGTACGCTCGCACGAAGTACGTTTTTCTTAATGAACTGGCCAAAGACACCGACAACCCCATCATGCTGCGTGACCAGATTGTCAACATGTTGCTCGCGGCCAGAGACACAACAGCAGGACTGCTAGCATTCGCCTTCTTCTTGCTGGCACGTAATCCCAGAGTCTGGGATAAACTCAGGGCGGACGTGCTTGAAAACTACACAGAGCCTTTGACCTACGATGCTGTTATGCAGATGACATATCTACGCTACGTACTTCAAGAAAGTAAGTTTGCGGGCCGCTCACCGATCTTCCCTTTTAAATGACTTCATCTGGCTAACCTCAATCTCAGCTCTTCGACTCTTCCCTCCTATTGCCACTAATAGCCGCATGGCCAACAAAGACTGCGTGATTCCGGTTGGCGGTGGTCCCGACGGACGCTCGCCAATGTTCGTTGCCAAGAATAATGTGGTCACATACAGCACTTTCGTTATGCACCGTCGTCCAGAACTCTTCGGGCCCGATGCTGAGGAATTCATCCCAGAACGTTGGGAGACTCTCCGACCAGGCTGGGAATATCTGCCCTTCAACGGTGGTCCTCGCGTTTGCCCTGGTCAGAAGTTCGCCCTCACCGAGTCGTCATATACCATTGCCAGGTTGTTGCATGCCTTCTCTGGGATTGAAAATCTGGATCCGACCGACTGGCGCGAGCAACTCACCTTATCCCTGACATTGAACAATGGGGTAAAGGTGCGACTCCTCCGGGAAGCTTAGGTACCCTGAAGTTGTCTCTTTCATAGCCTCGAGCTGTACCAGGTTGTTTGCGTCGGACCTTTCCTCGCTTAGCAAGCCTTGTTACATAGAACTTTTGAGAATTCAGACGAGTCGACTAATCTCAAAAAAGGTGATGAAGAATGCATCACAGCTTTTGACCCTTTCATTTCAGTGACATCTGACCAACCTAATCTTCTCAAACCATCGATAAGTCCCGTAAGGTAACACGATGCCTCACTGACAGTGCAGTCTACTTAGCACGCCATGCGATGCAGGTCTCAGTTCCTGAAGATTACCTGAAAGATGAGTCTTTCGAGTACTGTATCTTAGGGATGTGGGACGAGGTTGTAATGGCCCCTGGGCTTGACCACCGTGGCATCGAATGTTGCCACAAGCAGGCAGCTGCGACTCAATGAGTCGTCTGAGTACACGTATGGAAAAGGCCAACATAGGATCTCCCAAGAGACATGAAATGTTAATCCAGAGACTCCAGTATGTCACCAGGACATCACAGCACATACAAATAGCCTAAGAAGGCGGGTAAGGAGAACGCCAAGGCCGGACCCTAATATGCTATAGTTACGGATGCAGCAAGGAGCCAGTCCGAAGAGCATCACCTTCATATCCCTGAGGGCTGCAACTCTTCACCGCCATGGTCTAATCGACATGCCACCTGGATGGTAACGTCTCGTCCCAAATTTAGATGACACGACAGGGCTTGACGTTCTCGAACAACCAGGCACTGAGTAGCTCCCGCTTTCTCGCCTCGACTTCCCCGATCACATAATCTTCAAGTCCAAGCCCGCCAACCAGAATGAACTTGTCCCCTCTGCTATTGTTCGAAAAGCTATAATTGAACGAGTAATGGCTACCTCAATCGGTTACACTTCACCTTTGGAGCCAAGAAGTGTCGCGGGAAAATGGGACAACAAACATCTTTGAAGGCAACCCTTGGAAAGTTTAAATTCTTCCCCCGCTTCAGAGCAGACTTTAGCCCACCTCCACCGGGTTTGAGTCAGTTGAAATAAGCGAAGGCCTGCTGCAGGACTCATTGAGTCTCCGAGACGTTGAGATGTTCCGATCATTAATTAGTTGACCCTCGGACAAGTTAGAGTTTATGATGTGGTCTTTCCTTTGACCTGCTGCGCTTCGACCAATACCCGGAGAGTGTTTCGACCGAGCTCAAAGACTTTCCCATACGTAATCGCATTGTTAATCCGGTCTCACTTCAAGTCTTTCCACCCTTTCTGGTGCGTCATTTGCGGTCTTGGCCAAGAAAGTGTAGTATCGCGACCACGTCTGCGCAATGGGGAAGGTCGTATTTGGCCCAAGACAGCGGTGGAATTCGGACGGGCCAAGAGAATTGGAAATGTTTCCACAATGTCGTGAAAGCCTATTAAATAAGTGGACGCGCTTCTTATGATGATTGGATCTTGCGGGTGTCACTGAATCCTGCGTAGTGTTGTACATAGTTCACTAATGTGAACTCTAAAGCAATTGACCACGCTGAGTTCGCCATTGGTTCCGAAGCCCACGACTGATGATTCCGAGAAGCAGCTTTAGTTACACTACTTACCTAGTTGCTGATCTCTCTGTGCCACTCTTCTCATTCCACTACTTCGCTTACTCCTGGTTCTTCCGCCAAATAGCATCATGTGCGGCATTACGGCAACTATCAAGTTACGACGAAGCGGCACACTCCCTGGATCAAATGGGAATGGCCATAACAGCTCCCCAAGTCGCCAGGCTTTGCACAATCAGTTAGCGGAAAGCCTCGTAAGCCTTGCTCATCGAGGGCCGGATGCCGAGGGCATCTGGATGAGTGACGATGGAACCATTGGTATGACCATATGGCTCAGGCTCAGTAAATTTGACTGACTTTGGAATATAGGCCTCGGCCACCGTCGTCTTGCCATCAATGACCTAACGCCTGACGGTGTTCAACCTCTGCACAGCAATGACGGGAAAATCCATGCCGTCGTCAATGGAGAGATATATGATCATGACGCCATTCGAGAACGGTGCATCCGGGATCATGAATATCAATTCAAGGGCCATTGCGATAGTGAAGTGTTGATTGCGTTGTATAAGATTTACGGAGCTCCTGGGTTCTTTGAACATTTAAGAGGGGAATTCTCATTTGTCATTTTTGATGAGAGAGATGGGCGGGTGATTACTGCCCGCGATCGCTTTGGCATCAAGCCAATGTACTGGACTATTGTCGGTGACGGCTCACAGCAACAGCTTGTCTTGACATCTGAGGTCAAAGGCCTTTTGCCCCTTGGCTGGGAGCCCGAGTGGAACGTCTCCGGTCTCATCAGCGGACTTTCTCTCCAAGCTGAACATACGATTTACAAAGATGTTTGGAAATTGAAGCCAGGTTCGTGGATGGAGATCGCTGAAAGTGGTGAGATCAAGCACCATCAATATTGGGATCCTGAATACAAGAATAAGGTACGTGTCAACCTGGCCTGAAGCGCCACCTACTCATAATCTTAGCTTATAAAAAACAGCATGAGGTCGAAACGCGTCAATTAGATAAAATCATTCTGGAAGTCAGAGAGAGGATCGTAGAAGCTGTAAGACTTCGGCTGCGTGCCGATGTACCAGTAGGTATCTACCTATCAGGTGGCATTGATTCCTCTGTCGTTGCTGGAATCGTAACAAAACTTGTTCGTGAGGAGGGTGTAATGCTTGGCAACCAAGACGCCACGAAACGAATTTCCTGTTTTAGCATCCAGTTCCCTGAGGACTCTGGTTTCAACGAGGCTGGTTTGTTCCCTTGTCAAGTCTATCATGAACTTACCTGATTACGCATACGGAGGCTAATTAATTTTACAGACATCGCACAGCGGACAGCAGACTGGCTTGGTGTTCAAATCCTCAAAAAAGACATGAACGAGGAAGAGCTTGCAAAGAACTTCGTGGAATGTGTCTACCACACTGAGCACCATCATTTCGATCTCAACTTCGTGGGCAAATTCTGTCTTTCCACACTACCCCGGCAATTTGGCGTGCCGGTTGTTCTCACGGGTGAAGGCGCTGATGAACACTTCGCCGGGTACCCATTCCTGATGCCGGATTTTCTCCTGGAGCCGGATTACGCGTGGCCAGACTCAGCTTTGGCAAGAAATGACCAGGCGAGAGAGGCCATGCAAAAGGAAATGGCAGACGACCTCAAGAATATGTTCACCAGAGTCGGCATGTTCAATCACGAATGGGAAACGACGGCTCCAGTATCCCGACATCTTGGCATTGGAAACAACGCTCTGAAGTGGCAGCCCCACTCGGGCATGTTCGCCCCTTGGGTCCAGGACTCCTACGGGCGGAAGGATATGAGGATCAGTGTAGCTGAGACCATGTCCGCTGAAGTGCGCAAAAACATGGACGAAAAGTGGCATACGCTGCACTCCTCACTTTATTACTACACTCGCGGTGCCCTTCCCAATATGATCCTCACCTGCTTGGGTGATCGTACCGAAATGGCACACAGCATCGAAGCCCGGCCGCCATTCCTCGACCATCACTTGGTTGAATACGTCAACGGCCTTCCTCCCAGCCTGAAGATTGCGTACAATCAGCCAGAGGGCGACACAGACGGGACAGGATCAAGTTTATGGTGGAAGAATCTCAGTGCTGCTCGCCAGGCCTTAAGCGAAAAGTGGATTCTGAAGGAAGCTGGTAAGCCTTTCATCACTCAGGAGCTATATGATCGTCGGAAACACCCATATTCAGCACCTGTCAAGTGGCCTCGGGAAGGACCTATACACCAGCTCTTTAGAAAGCTAATCACGGAGGACTCGGTGAACAATCTGGGATTCCTGGAATGGGAGGATGTCAAAAGTTGGCTTGAGCATGGGTTTGGGAATGATTCTGACCCCAACGCCTTCAGAAAGTTGGTCATTACTGGATCATGGGTTGTCCTGAGCCAGAGGTTTGGCGTCAAAAAAGCTACTCGAGGTACCGAGCCAAGCTGCACGTAAACTTTCATCCAGTAGCATGATACCTATAAGGTAGGCGGTGAATGACATTTGAGTAAACAACTCGATTTCTCAGCCGGGCGCAATTAGCAAACCCAGATGAATAAGACTAGACATGCATCTTCCGATGTGGAGAAGTCTCTGAGAAGAAGTAAGAATGAGAGATGTGTATCATAAGTATTGACGTAGTGTATATACATGTGATAATATGATGTTACAAATTGAAAAAAAACTCTCTCTCTTATCTAGATGTGTCAGTGTTGCGTGTGAAGAACACATATCCAAGCCAAGCCGGCTGGGAACCATAGGCCAGACAGCAGGTTGCTGTCCAGCATAGGTTTAAGCAGTCAGACGTATGTGTTAGCCTGTCCTCATCTTCAATTGGGTCGGAAGCTTAGTAAAAGCCGCCCTTGTCATCCTTGCCTTTCTTCTGGTCATCGTTCTTGTTGTCATCGTTCTTGTTGTCATCGTTCTTCTTCTTGTCCTCCTTCTGGTTGCCCTTCTTCTTCTCATCCTCATCATCGGAGCAGTTACCCTTCTTATTGCGCCTGCACTGCTTCTTCTTCTTATCCTTCTTGTCATCGTCAGAGTCAGAGCAATCGCCCTTCTTGTTGCGCTTGCACTGCTTCTTCTTCTTGTCCTTCTTATCGTCATCGGAATCGGTGCAGTAGCCCTTGTTGTTGGTACGCTTGCACTTCTTCTTGCTGTTGCGCTGCTCAAGGGCGCTAATGGCGCCGGTGAAAGCAAGTCCCTCGCCACGGGCCTAATGGGTTAGAAGTTAGTCGAAGCGTCTAGCAAATCAAATGTCATCTCTTCGGAGGCATGAACGGGTGTTGTTGATGCTTCAGAACTCACAGTCAGATCGGTGGATCGCTGGGGGATGTTAGCTTATTCGTGCATGTAGTCATGGCCGGGAATAGAGTGGTGTTCTTACCTCGATGAGATCGGTATCGAGGGGCTCTGCGATGGGAGCAGCCAAGGCAGCGACGGTGAAGAAAGCCATGCCGATGGTGGCAACCTGTCCGAAAGTAGGGATATGCATCTTGAGAATGGGTTGAGAGTATGGAGTTCTTAAAAAGAGAGGGAGAGTCGGAATGAGTGGTGTGAGTGAGCTATGTAGAAGCGACTGTGATCTTGAGAGTGAGTGTGATGAGGAGGAAGGATATCCCTTTCCAATTGAGGTGATAAGATGGCTTATTTATAAGTTTTCATCTTTCTCTTCGAACCGAACGAAGATGTGTACAGCATCAACGTTGAAGGCTTCATGTTATGAGACAGAGCCTCACTTGCGACCGGGATCGAGTGAAGCGAGAATGAATTTGCTTCTGTGGCTTGGAAATCTGTCCATGGGTCTTAGTTCACGGTCCACCACGTCTGTGAAAATCGAGCCAAGGCCGCTGGTGTTTTCTTGGCAATGAGTCTACGGTTGCCAGATATACCAGACCGAGGTGCACCCACGAGCTCGCTTTCGAGATCTTGGGTTCGAGGCACTCGATGCCAAGCTTCGCGGCCTCAACGCCATCACAACGCTTGCCCAATATTTTCTTTTCCTTTGGAGTACCAGCCTAGAGTTCGATTTTATTTTCGGGGAGGATGTACGCCACAAGCTAGAACGAGTGATCGAGTTTGAGGCGGACCACCAGAAAGCTGGCTGAAGTGAGCTGAAGGTCTGGATTTGTCAATGTGTTTGAGGCTGTAGCAAGCAATCGAGAATCCAAATAACCTATTCACGCAACTAACGGCGGCTTCTCTTGGGCCGATGTATTGTCTCATCACGGAACCAACCTCCTGGATCACAGCTGGGGGTAGAGGGGCAGTATCGTTTCGACAAGTGATATCAAAACCACGACTGACTATCCAGGCTTCGAGTGTATTAAAAATTTACATGCATGCAGTGGACGTTGAGCCTAATGGTCTCGAAAATGTGTGAAACTCCTGGAGTGACAATAAGGTGAGCATCGAGTAACGGCTCACAGACTGCGGGTTCACATCTGAGGGCCGCATCGCGCGAAAGCTTATGCTGAAGCTGAAAAAGGAATGTGGAAATGGAAGAGGGGGTACGCACGAGCTTTGCGGGGTGGCGTACATAGTTGAGGTCCCAGTCTCTAAGTTTCGCCCGGCGACGCCGCTGGCGGGATACCCGTCCGGCTGGTTTCACCAGCCAGGGCGAGAAGTCTAGCTCGTCAAACACAGGGGAAAAAACAAGCTTAAGGTAAACATCATTTCAACCTTAAAGACGATTGAGCCATTGTGCCCACAGCGACCAGGCTTGGCACACGTCAGCGACTTCTTTCGTGCGAGTCTTTTCAGATATGGAAACCGCTAGATCAGGCGGGTCTGGACGGTGACTTGGCACTCATATATTAGTAGATTCTAATAGCTGGGTAGGTTGCAGTGTTGACTCGCAGGGTGGTGATGACCACTCATGCCCAGCTGACGAGAAAAAATATTGACTTCTTGTAGTATGACCCAGGCAAACAATCAATGCGACGAGATCACCGCGGCTTGAACCATTCAGTAAGCTCAACGGGGAACAATACAGGTTGCCATGGGAAGAAGGTATGATCGCAATGCTTTATCAGAATGCTAGCTCGTCTGTTGCTGTGTCTATGGAGCAAATGAGAGACTTTTCTGCCGCCGCTCTCGGCCCTCCTCTATGTGTATGCTCGTCATGAATGCGTTGACGAAGATAAGCCTTCGCTTGTTACCACTAGTTGGCGATGCAAGAGAATTCCTGACAACTGTTGAGTCGCCTCTCTTTTACTCCTCAACCATGTTGTTTCGGTCACTGGAAGGTTGTAAGTAAGGATGAAAGGCATTAATTGAGCTGCTGCAAAATATTGTATCATGTGTGGACTTACGGTAATATAAAATCTGGCAGGAACCAGGCCAGGATAACCCCCGGAGCTGAAGCTCCGACGGCAGTATAGACCATGAATTTCATCACGTCTGTGAACTATGTGTTGCGGTATGGAGTCAGCTTCGCCAAACCGACGCGAAATTGTCCGCTCTCAAGACGTCAGAACTTACAGCATGGTTGATCGCGTTTCTTTCCGGAGTACCCCATGCAGGTGCGGTGCCAACAATGGAATCAAATAACGAGTCGACGAGCTCCGGTGAAGCGCTGGCGCCGAGATACTTGTACAGCATCGGCTTGAATGTGTTGGTGTAGATGCCACCAGCTATGCAACCTCCGATACTTCCCCCAATGACCGAACAGCAAATGACCAAAGCAGTGATCTGTGGCATCTCGCGGTGAGGCACAACGACCTGAGCAGGCACAAGAATCGATAGTTGCATTATGCCGGATCCTAGACCCTGGATCATCTGGACGATGAAGAGCTCGGCCACGGAGTTATCAGCCCCGCGGAGGCGAAGCATGACACCGTAGCCTATGAGACGGATGATTGCGCCGCCGATGAGAAGCCACTTGTATCGGCGAGTGTATGCCATTGCCAAGCCGGCGATGATTCCCATCACGCACTGCATCACGCCGTTGGTGTATTGGAAGAACGTAGCGTCTCGGGCGGCGAAGCCACGGGCAACGGTAGACCATGAGTAGAGATAGGTGTGCGTGCAGGCGAACCCGACTGAGTCACTCGCGATGAGCAAGAGGCAAAGAACAATTGTCTTGTTGCGGAAGTATCGCGTGGGCATGATTGGGTTGCGAGCCAGACGCTGCTCGTAGAACGGCAGTGCAGCGAGGAGCATGACGCCAATCACGATTAAGACGATGATGTACGCCGTTCCCCATCTGCTTGGTGTTGATGCTGCCAACGTTAACGGTATCAGGACTAATGAGAAGCCCGCGCAGAGAAGTGCTGAACCGCCCAGGTCGATCTGAGAGCAGAAGCTGTAGAGCGTTGTTTTCTGCCTTGGGGTAAGACCCATGTCCTTGGCCTTCTTTTGGTAGTAAAGCAAGGTCGAAATGATGAATGCGGCGCCGATGGGCATGAGAATTGCGAACATGCCGATGCCCCATCGCCAGCCGATACCACCGGGCTTGACGACGTCGTCGACAATGAAGGCAGCTGCCCAAGGCGTGATGAGAAATGGGAAGAAGGAGAAGCTGAGAGCAAAACCACGCCAGCGAGCCGTAGTGATATCGGCAATAACGATGTCGTTCATGATGTTTGTACCTGACTGGCCGACGACGTAGAATACAACGCCTGCAGCATAGGCGTTGAAAGTTGTTGATGTTGCCATGAGGATGTAGCCCAAGACATAGAAGGATATACTCATGATGTAGGTTTCTCCTCGGCCGATGACGTTGGATAGCTTGGCGACTGGCGGTTTGATAACAGCGAAGACGATACCGCTGGCGGTGCTTAGGGTTGCTAGCTTGGAAAGAGCTGAAAAGGAAGACGTCGCATAGTTGTTGTATATGTAGACAGTGGTGTTGTCGATTTCGCTTTATGATGGTTAGCCAGGTGGATCAAGGGAAAGAAGCCATTGACCCCATGACCAAAGGAAAATATGGTACTTACTACACAATCATCACCAAAGCCAGGCTAGTATAGATGTTAACAACAACATGCATATGAGGCAACTGGTAGTATGGGCTTACCCGACAATAACAAGCCATCTTCCCTTCTTCCCCCACAATGTCTGAGCAGCTTGAATAGTGCCGACACCCGACTCAAGAGGCTCGGAGGTGTCGAACTTTTTGACATGATCGTGATCTTCAATAGTGTCGTCCGTCTTCCCGGCCATCTCAACATCCCGAGGTGCTTCCGATGCAGCTATATCCCCGTTGGCGGGGTCTGCCGACGAGGAACCCTCCGCATGGAGGCGTCCCCTCAACGACGTGACAAAGCCCATTGCTTCTCTCTCTTCTTCAGACGTCGGCAGTAGACTCGTCCGCTCGTCACTGTCGTACGAATACGTACGACCGGTTCGTCGGCCCATGCTGGGTGAACTGAGAGCAGATGCGAAGACCTTTAACTATTTTTGAGTCATGCCCGCACTGCAGAAACTACCGCAAACTTCTTGGCCAAGGTTCAATGATTATCAGTTGAGACGGCACCCTGAACCTTGTTTGGAAGCAATTCGAGAAACAAAAAAAAGCACAGATGACTGGTCGACAATTGAAAACATCGGCTTAGAATTAACCGGCAAACCTCCCATCGACAGATGGATTCTAAAGGCTGTGCTTACTTTACCTTTGCGGGAAGGCTGGTATTGTTCTTCGCGGTCGTTATCTTGCGCCCACCGGCCAATTGCTCGCGCGGGGTCGGCGCGGAGAGGCGAGGAGCCTATCATATTGGGGACATTGTCATCCCTCTTGCATCCTCCGAGGTGTCGTGTGATAGCACTCGGTGATAGCGTCTGGACGAGTCGGTATCCGAAGCTATCTGTACATCGTCCGATGTATGGGGTAGGATCAGGCACCATGTCTTCCCTTACAGTAACGATGTGCGATGGGAGGACCCAGGTGCTTCTAGACGTTTACCATGTAGAGGATGGGGATGCTCGACCCTATGAGGATCACAAACCGGTGGGATTCTTGGTGTTGACCTACTGTTGGCTTTGAGATTAGGTGCTCGGCAAATATGGACCGACCGGCTGGGTTAGACCCTGAAGCCAGTTTCCAAAATGGCTCCACTGATTCCCCCGAAGCCGCTCGCAATTCAAGGTGGGAATCCCCCCGATGTCATCGGCGACCGAAGATTCTACTCGACTCAGATGGGGCCGCCCGCTCCGTCATTCTGGATCCGCCCGGCCGGTCAACCTTTCTTGGGTTTAAGGTAAACTGCCACAGGAGGAGGATGTCACCTCAAGATCTCGGGGGACCGTAGGATTGGCTCTGAGACCCGTGTCACTTGATCTCAAAAGCGCGGGAGATGGCTTGCAATTTAGCGTCAACGTGGCCAAATGAGATGCCCAGAAACTGAATCAAGGGTGCCGACGCCCTGCAAACTCTCTTCGCCCGACAGCCCTGATAATCAGATGAAAAAGATAATGCACAAACGTTTGGGGGATCAGCACAGCACAGCTGCCGCAGCACCCCTACTTTCCCCCCTTATCTGCCCTTGATTCGTACGAGCCAAGACTGGGCTCACTCGAGAGACCGCTCACGCACAGGACAGCGCTAATCCTAAACAAGCCAGCAAGATACCGGCTTTCACAAGAGTCGTGTTTGGCTGCTGAGTCGGTGATCCGGGAACCATGGGACCCCCACAGAAAGATCAGCTGGGCTCATTGTGAAATACAGCCGGTCCGGGTAGCTCAACGTTTCCTTATCCCCTTTCCCTCGCTGTCTGACTGGAATCACTCCCGAGGCTATCACCAAGCCGAACATCGTGCTAAACTGCCATGGACAGCAAGATTCCCTCAGGATTTCCGGGGCCCAAAGAGGCTATCAGGTCAGGGAGCAAGTGTAGAACAGCGGTCACCGCTGCTTTATCAGTACTCGCTGTTACGGCGCTTATCAGAGGGAACTTCTTCCCGAGTCCATGGTTCCTAGCCCGGAGCGGAAGCACATCCAAACAAAGTGCTGGTTCAGAATGGACCTGGTCAAGCGTACGTCGGAATACCAGTCACGAAATTGATCTCGAAGAACTGACAAGCTCTACAGATCAAGCCGAGTCGGACCCTGGAGTGGCACAGCTGCTTCGAGAACGGAGAATATGACTGCGCTAGACTAGACGTTAGTGCCCGAGAAGCCGTCTCCACAAAACTCCCAGCATGTCTAACAGAACATCTCTCAGGTCCCCATGGACTGGCAAGAGCCGTCTGATGACCACAGAGTTGTACTCGCGATTACGAGAATCCGGGCAACCGACAAACTTGACTATAGAGGGCCAGTCATCTTTAACCCTGGTGTAAGCAAACTTGTCACGATCTCTTCCCAAGACATCAACGGTGCGCTTAAACCTGTATCCAGGGTCCCGGCGGCTCAGGGGTTTGGTCCCTGAAAAACCATGGCAAAATGCTGCAGGAGATTATTGGTGTAAACCACGTAAGTTTGCATAAGTACCGATCCCGTTAGGATTCTTCGTCCGGAAAATCTGACGATATGCAGGACCTCATCAGTTTCGATCCCAGAGGTGGTAAGTCTTTTCTTCCAAGATCTAAAATGTGGACAGTCGCTCACATTCTGGGACAGTTGGCGCATCCATCCCCAGAATCCAATGCTGGTCAACACCGCAACAGCGCCAAAATTGGGGTCTACAAGACCCTGGAGTTCTCGACTCCCACGAAAGCATCGTCGGAGAACTTTTTGCCCGGGCGACGGCATACTCTCAGGCATGCGAGAGCGCGATGAAAGCGTCCGGTATACTCGAACACTCCAGCACCACCCCGACCGCCAGGGACATGCTCGAGATTGTGTACCAGACCGGGTACAGCAAGCTCAAGTACTGGGGCTTCAGCTACGGCACCATCCTCGGCGGCGTTTTCGCGGCCATGTATCCGGACAAGGTAGAACGCCTGGTCAGCGATGGCAACGTTGACTACAGAGAGTGGTTTAACTCGGAACACGTCAACTTCATTCGCGACACGGACAAGGTTCTCTTCGCCTTTTATGAGTTTTGCTATCAAGCTGGGCCCGAAAAATGCGCCTTCCACGGTCCCACTTCGGAAGCCATCATGGGGAGATTCGTTGACCTGCTCAACGCTCTTAAGAGGCATCCAGTCATCGTTCCGGCCGATCCAGAGGAAGGTCCTGAAGTACCTATGCTGGTCACCTACTCCAAGGTCATGCGTCTTCTCTCGACAACGCTCTACCAGCCACTGGAGCAGTTTGAGAATTTCGCCAAGATCATTGCCGCGCTCGAAAAGAAGGACGGGCGGCCATACTACAGGCGCTATAACCCTAGCAAACCGGCCCCGGCCCCGGCTTGCGCCCCGCAGCCAGTCTCTCCGTTCGAGCCGCCCCCGGGTATCGTCGAAGGCACCGGAGATGCCTTCCCTGTCATCATGTGCGCCGATCACCCCGCTGTCAGTAACATGACTCTCGAGGAGATTCAACGAGAGACGGATGGGATACTGGAGCTTAGTCCAGGGACTGGAGCCACTGAAGTCCCGTACCAAATGACCTGCAATCAGCGAACTACGCGTCCCCGCTGGCGATTCAGTGGTCAGTACTACCAGTAATTATCAGGAGAGATCTGAGAGCGTCTATGCTGATCCGGTTCAGGGCCCTTTGAGGGCAAGACTAGCCACCCCATCTTGTTCATCGCCAACCAGGCCGACAACATCACTCCACTAGTCAGCGCTCGCAACAACTCCGCTGGGTTCCCCGGATCAAGGCTTCTCATTCAAAACTCGTTTGGCGTGAGTACATGTACCCTTCAAGAAAAAGCCGCATTCACATGGAAGGCCGACTACGTACAGACCCGAGAGCTGATATTCTTTGTTTATAGCACACGACTCTCGCAGCCCCTTCAGAATGCACTAGAGGTCATATTAGGGCTTACTTCCAAAATGGAACACTACCCGAGCCTGATACAAAGTGCGAAGGCGACTCGCACCCATTCGGCCCCTTTGCCGAAGCCGGAGTTCGATTCTACCAGCCATCGCTGTTCATGTAACTCGAACTATGCCATTTGATATTTAGATCTAGAGACTAGATACCTAAAGTACAGTCTGCGTAGATATAGAATGCTCTTTTCTTCTTTCTTAAAATTGCGCTTTCCTTCATGTTGCCACGTCGCTGGCTGGTCATCACTTAGGCCTCTCGGCTTGACTTTTCAATAGCCATTCTATTCAAGAAGAGAAATTGACTTTGGGTATTTATTTGACAACACGAAGGACCTAAGAAACTAACTGCCGCAGGGAATTCTTTTCCTGGACCTCCACCACTCATTGCGCCTTATGCGTTCTTTCGGAATTCGCGGGCATCTCGTATACCATGTGGTCGTCCGGTGCCTCGTGCCTAACTGGATGTCGATCCGTAGAGCCAATCTCATGTGAAAGTGGCGTTCCCATCTCAGTGAGAGGCGACCGTGAATTCAACTCACTGACGTGGCTCCTTTCCCTCAGAACCTTTGGTTCCGCCTGGTACCTCATATGCATCTCCCCATTTCCCCCCATCTCGGCCATCGAACTCGTCTGGCTCGCCACCTGCGCCCTTTGACTTTTGGCCCTCTTTCCGTTCAACCATAAGAAAGCCTTGTCGACGGCATTCGGCGGAGAACCAGGTCCCTTCTGCTTTCTCCGGCGGCGCAACAACCATACCAACGCAAGGACCGCGCCTATAACCCCGACTGCGATGCCAGCCTTTTCTCCAGCTGTCAATCCCTTGTCACCGGTGTCGAAGCTCTGGAAAACTTGCCCTTTATCCCAGGCGTCGCCCCATGTCGTGACGAACGACTTGGCCGGGTTGGTACTGATCGCTGAGTCGTCAAACTTCTTCACGATGCTCTGCTCCATCCGTGGACCAGGAGCTTGCGCCATATAGGTGACGTTGGATTCGTAGTCAACGGCCAGGAATGCGGCTTGGAGAAACGCGCGGCCCAACTGCCAGAAGCCGTAGCTCGAGTTGATGGACTGGCAGGGAAAGTAGCTCGCCTTCTGCTCGACCAGCGGCGGCTCCAATGTCAGGTTGAGGAGCTGGAAGGGGACTTTGATAGTTATGTTCGTTGCGCTCGAGTCGGCCAAGACGAAACCGAGGTACGCTGACTGGTTGACAAATAGTTGGGCGCTCAAGTCAGTATCCCAGAGGTAGAGCCCTGACTTGTTATGGTACGTCATGTGAAGATTCTCTGCTATGGCTTCGCAGATCCCCGGCGGTAGATAGATGTACGGTGAAGCTGGGTTCGGGATCACGACTGCCGACCCAGCAGCGCCGCCAACGTACTTAGTATACTGCATGCCGAGGTCTGTTGGATTCGTCCAAAAGCTCGCGTTCGACTTAATAGGATAGAATGACTGATTCCGTATCTGAAAGTCAAAGATGATGTCCCTGAGAAACATCACCGGTATCGAGTCCTGAAGTGCAAACGTGCCAACCTGACCGAGCGCCCTGTTCTGCTCATACCCGCCCAGTACTAGCGATCCAGGAATACCAAGAGCGGCACTCCCCATGTGCACGCTGAACGCGGTCCTATCAATGTCGCCTGAAATCCTGAGCTGTTCGAGGATGCCCGGACCGGCCGTCTCATGTCTCTCGCTCCTGGGCCCGAGACCAAGTGTGCCGACCGTTGGCGTGTAGGCAGTCGTGTCTGCATTGGTAGAGCTATTCCACGACGTCGCGGCGACCAATGTCACGTTAACCTTGATTTCGTGACTGGTTCCCATCCTCGAGTCGATAACCATGCCGTCCGAGGCCTCCATTCCTGCCCAGCCCGCCCCCATAAAGGCGCTGGCGAACCAGCCGTCAGACCAGGCTCTCGAAGTCCCCGTCTTGAGGGTATCGCGGCGTGGCGTATAATCTCCGCCTACAGATTTCGTCAGAATCTCAGAAACACCAGAGCCTCCCGGCCAGAGAGGCATCTCAGTGTCGTTGAGCTTGAGGAGTGGCGCCTGCCATGGCCCGTCGGGACCATACGTCCTGTTCTCGTTCGCTCCGAGATCGGTTGACCAGCGGAGTTGGATCTGCGCGCTGGCGCTGGCGAAGGTGGCCGCGGCGAGGTAAATACGACGCAGCAGCATGGTCGACGTTTGTCAACCGTCTCGAATGATACTTTGACTGGATATTTAGGTTGACATTCGGGATTGAGTTGAGGGTCCACGCGTGAATGGTAAGAAAGGGCAGACGAAGAGACAAAGGTGTAAACAGGAGTTAGAGAATCGGAGTGAAAGTCCAAGTGCCGGGCAAAAAAGCATGCACGAGTGAGGGTCAAACAACACCGCGCCGCATGCGAGTCTTACGGTAGCAGATAATTTGACAAAACACAAGGTGGTTTCTTGGGCAAAGGCTCCATCGCAGGCAACAGAGCTACCAGGATCCGGATCCAGATGCAGACTGGCGCCGCAATTGCCTGGCTGCCCAGGACCCCAAACCACAAGTGGATTTCAAGTTCAGCCAACAGGATTCGAGGCGTTCTTAAGTAAGTCAGGGGTTGCCCTGGTTTGATCCATCATCTAATGACGGAGATCGTGTCCGTAGGAAGGGAACACGGATAGTAGTAGGGAAGAAGAATTAAGAGATACACGAGCACTGAGAAGCCGTCTGACAAGCGAGCATCGATCGCCAATTTGGGCGCGTTTTCGTTCTCGTAAACCTTAAAACTCAATTGAAAAGGTTCCACTTCAGAGCACCACCTCCCCAACGGTGCCAGGTGAGCACGACAGCGAATATTGGCGCGAGGCTGGTCAGGGAAGGCAATCCTTCAGGATCCAACGCGGCACTGGATCTTTCAAACACGAAATTCAAGGCCTTGTTTTCATTATACAAGAGGAACGCGGGCCAAAATGAATACCAATCCGAAGACAATCCAAAAGCCTTTTGGTTTAGCCCGGATTATCCTCGAGACTTGAATCGGCGCCATCGCCGGGGCCAATCTCCACTTATCCCCCGGTTGTTCGGAGGTGAACACGGCGCTTGGTGGATATCGATCATCCATTTACTTGCGTTCGATCCCGACCTATCCAGAGCGCTTCATTCATAAAGATGGAAGAATTAAAGTTTTTAGAGACCTATACTGCATATTCATTTCATTCTCAGTCATGAAACTAGCCCCTGGGCCATTGCTCTCGCAAGGCAGATTCCACAACGATTCAGTCGCCCTTCACCTTCCCCATCTCAATTGTCTCCGGCCGGATCGTAGAAGAGCCACGCCAACCCCACGACTTCCCGCCATCATTCTCCGGGCCCTTGATACAAAGTAGCTGTTCATCCGCAAGCTGTAAATGCCACTTCTGCCTACCGGCCCGCGTCTTCTTAATGCCTTTGAGTAGTCGTCTTGTCCTCGACCGCCACCAAGGCTTGTCCTGGCTTGCGATGCACCGCCGCAAAGGTATCAACAAAAAGCAGACCTGGTCCAACCTTCCCTCGGAGAGTAACATCTCACAAATCGTCAACAATCGACTCATTCGAGTGCTTCTCTCAAAGTCGAGCTTGGCTCCAGACTCAGGTGGGTTTCTTCCGGCGGCTATCGTTAGGGAGATCTTATTCTCTAAGTAGAACAATATCCAGTGGATGTTGATCTGTGAAGCAGGTAAGCCGAGAATTCATTTGTGGCTGAATCAATACTACCTCGGTTTCCGAAAGGGATTCTTTGCGAAGATCCAAGTCCTTGATGGTGCCGTACTTTTCTGCCATCTTCAACACCTGAGCCAGCGCCTCTTCAATGGACCCCTCAAGATCGGCAACATCGCAGTAATACAACAAGACCAAGAGGTCCTTCTCAGACTCGTCAATCAGACACGTATCAGACGATCGAAAAGGAACAGGCAGGTTGTCATCTCCCGCAGAGGTAGAGCCTGCTTCCAATCTACCCACATCATTGCCTTGTGGCCCGAGAAATGGGTTCACGGCACGTGCAACTTCAAGCAGCTTTTGCGAGATGGGCCCGCGATCAGTCAATAATCGTAGTACAGTCACTTCCGTACAGAGCGTGATGTAGTCACGAATATTGGATGCGTGTCGAGCCTCCTCAATCAAGACATCAAGTTTCTCGATGAGCGACGTAAGGTCCTCGGAGGCAACGCTTGAAATGCCCCCCGTTAGGTATTGACTGCGAATCTGCATTATTGACAGAATGACTTGACGGGTCGTCTTAGATATGAGTGGAGGTAAATGCTGGATCCAGATAGTGGTAGAAGGCAGCGTCTTTGGGACGCGCGGAGGCGGCGATGGACTACCTCAAGTCAGTATCTTGGGCCCATCATGGGCACAGTCACAGACTCACCGGGACGAGCCTCCGCCCATATTGCGAACCAGCTTTGGCGTTGAGTTCTTGACCGACGGAAAGTCGGGCGCTCCCAACGATGCATAGAAAATCACGTCCATGTTGGCATCTCACAACACCACCGCATCCTATATGAAGTCGAAGAGGGAGAGCAAACATCGAGGCTCATCGTCAACCAGGCTGGACTTACGTATTTCGCATGCCTCGCATCGTATTTCGTGTCTGCATCAACCAGCTCAGCTGAAAGCCTTGGCAACACGCGTTATCAGACGTGGCTTGCGCCGGCGAATCAAGAGGAACGGACGGTGTGGCGGTATGTGTTCCCCGGACTGGAGCCGTTCTCGACGTTGTGAGCGCCACCGAGGATCCCGTCCATCATGGGACGCGTGCGGGGTACTGGGGTATGATCCTCTGTTCTGTGATCAGGTGCATGTGGGAATAGCTCGGTGCATCATTGGAATATTTTGGTAGTGATTGTGAATGTAAAGGTGTTGTTTTGAGTATTCAATATGTACTCGGGTTGCTAGTATTTACACCAGTTCATGACGAACTTTGATCATGGTGATGCGTTCCATGTAGAGTCGCCTGCCCAAACGCCATGCCTCCGTCCTTGAAAATGCAAGCTGCCAATTTGTGCAGCTTCAGCTCCCGTCACGTGTTAAAAACGTTTCCTTGTGATCCCGCCGAATAATGTCCTTGATCGCTGTAGAACGCCGCTGCCGATGCTGAGGTTGATCCATTCTCCGATGGTGTCGAATATTGTGATGATGTTGTGGTGATAAAGGAAAGGTTGAAGTGATTGTACTGAGACATCGAGGTCGGTCAATCCTTAATTTTGGGATTCGTAGACTGCCATCGCCTTTTCTAGCTCCTCGAGACTCGATCGGTCGCCGTAGGCGTCCATGAGTTTTGCCGCCCGCATGCGATCTTCAATTGCCTGCTTCTCCGCCGCGGCGTTCTTTGCTCGGCGACGTTCGACCGCGCCTTCTCGGTAGGCGTTGAGGCCGTAGCCAACGGCGACGACTGCTACTGTGGGCGGGATCCTATTATGCCGGATTCGTCAGTTCCAAACTCTCTCGGTTGCGGTTGTGGTGTTTTACCCCAGGATTCGGGGGAGCCGGGAAGAGGGGGAATGGGTGCCAGGTTGGGGTGTTAGGACCGAATCAGAGATCAAAGACGTACCATCTCATGGCGAGTCGACGGGGAGTTTGCAAAAAGTAGCTCGGCGGCATGCGAGCGTTGGTTGTGAAGTTTCTTGAAGCTTGTCTGAACATTGTATGTTGTGGGATCAGGTATCTCAGTAAGGGATGGTGTGTGGGATGGGGATGAAATCGGTATTTGTATCTTGGTTACGTGTGGGTTACAATTGCAAGGGATGATTAGATAGATCTCTCGGGCTAAAAGCAAGCGTCTTGGTGAGGAGGTGGCAGCGGCAAGCAATGTATTCATATATCGTCCCGTCTCGACCTTTCGCGCCGCGCCAATCTTGTGTCTGAGAACCCCGTCACCCCCAGCCGTTCTCTCCCCCATGGCCAAGGGGGGCCAAGCATGGCATGGCACTGCCCGCCCACACAGTACCCAACAGCACTTGCGTAGTGCGTACGGTAGGTTAAGATGAGCATGGAGCGGCATACCGTACGGTACAAGGCATCTCCGCAGGGGAGGGAGGCAAAACGGGATTCGCGGCCAGAATGAGAATCAGTGTGACACCAGCATCGCACCACGTCCAGCACCGGCCCCAATTGGGCATGGCGTCGACATCGTTCCAGAGTGTCGATTGTGGGGTGATGTCGACCGATATGCGGGGTGGAATCGGCACAGCCCGGGTGCAGTAACGTGATGCCGCTGGGGACAAGACTGGACCTTTGCTTTCCCTCTCTCTCATCATTGCTGCAGCGCTACGGATACAGTGCTGTACGTTGTCCTCAAGGAGAGAAGGCTCTCATCATTCTTGCCGTGCCAGGGGAGTTCCTGGAAGTCGTCTGGGGAACTTGGTGTTGAAGGCTACCGCTGGTTCGCTGGAGCTTTGCAAAACGCTCGAGGTGGTTGAGGAAGCCCCTTGTTTGTGCATCTTTCGTGCATCTCCGTCCATCTATTGATCCTGGACCATCCAAGCACAGCCCCCGCAGACTTGTTTTGGCTTTGGCTGGTGTGGTATTAGCTACTCCTCACGTGCCTGATGCTACCAGAGTCTATGCTCTCAATTGTGTGGTTTGCAACTTGCTTGCTTGCTTGCTACTAACGGCATTTGCAGTCGGCGTTTCGCCACAAACAAGACCGACTGACAACCATAAGTGGAAGCATTGACCAGACGGAGGACGGCCAGCGGAGTCCTCCGTTGCCGTAATGTCTTCTGATGCTGGTGGCAGCTGTTGAGAACCGTGAGATTATGACATGTGCGGATACAGTATTCGGCAAGTAACTTCGGGTGAGTGGCTTACCGGGATCATTTTGTTGGTGATCGAAACAATTCGATTTTTTCAGTTCCTAATTTTCAATCCGTATTCTCACTCGACATTGGCACCCGAACTTATTATCGTGACCCCATTCGCAGAGCCTATCTGTAGCCCGTATCTCTAGATGTTCTCCATCGTGGACTATGGAATAGCCGATTCCACCCGCGAAAACCAGTATGCTCCACCCAAGTTTATCCCGAAAGCTCGTCACATAGCCGAAAACCCTCGTTGATGTCATCTCTGGTCCCTGGATTTCTATCTCTAATCCCAATTTCTCTTATTTCCTTCTCTGGCAAACAACCCTGTTCACACCTTGACGCTTAGCCTGATCTCGACACCGTCTCCATCTGCACTATTGCTCTTTGGGGGAGCTCGAGTCCGACGCCAGGACGCGGTTTTCTGGTGAGAAGGCGAGTACCTACGTAGTAGCTGGTTGCCAAGGTAAGGAGGGAGAGAGACCCTGGTCCGCCGATGTCATTCAGCCAAAATTCCATCAATGAACTCAACGCATTTTCCAAGCTGAGTCTCCACCAACCAGCGCCAACGCTGGCTTCCGCGCCAAATGAACCCCGGCGGCTGTGTTTCACGACGTCACAACACACGATCGAATGGTGATGCAGCGGATAGCGGCGGGTTGTTGTCGTTACCCGTGATTCTGAGCTATGACGATGGCCTCACGTTGAGCCCTTTTGTCAGGATCACTCGATTCAAGCTTGATCAACTGTCATTTTGCAATTACCTTTCACTCCATTGCGTTAATGACGAGCACATGCATGCGTGCATCGCGACATGCCAAGCACCCCACAAGGCGTTGGCTGGGCCCCCCATGGCCCCTTTCCAGCCGTCAGCACAACACAATCAATCCACAGCACAACGACGACTTCAATGAACGGATGGATATGATGTTTAACATAGATCAATTATGGTTACTACATTCATATATAATTGGCGACGTAATATCCTATTGATCACCTTTTAATCCTTTGAAACCTAGTAACTTTGGACCCATCACTGAGCTCTTGCTGAATCTGTTGGTGTCTATAACCAAAGAGTCTCGGAGCGATCACAAACCGCAATCCGTAGTAAATGATGCCAAGAGACAGGATGCTCAACGCAACAACAGAAGAAAGCCAATACGGCAGCGAAGTACTGCCTTTACCATTCGGCGGTCTTACAAACGGCATCACGATTAAGAACTAATTACGAGGTATCAGCGATCAAACCTAACGGTCCTTGAATCCATAGGCACACTTACAATATTCGCCGCAAGGTAGATCACAATCAGAATCCAGGGTGCCCGGAGCGGCGATTGGAAGTTCTCCCGGTCGGTGAAACGCAACTTAACCAAGCCAACGGTGATAGCTGTCAACAAGACCGTTGTCGGGTAGCTAGACAAGCTGACGACGAAGTTGAAGGCGTCTCCAGCCGGCGGTGCACAAATGAAGAGAACAGTCACTCCAAGGTGCAGAATCAAGGCGTAAATGGGCGTACGAAACGGCCTGTTCTCCATGAATAGGTTGGAAAAGGGGAGCACACCATCCTTTGCCAGCTCTTGCAGCAGGCGAGCTGATTGGCGAAGTCAGTCGATTGAGCTCACAGTGCTGACTGAGGTTGAGAAACTCACGAATGGTAAATGCAACACCCAGGAGATGTCCCAGTGCTGATAGAGCGACCAGCGCTGGAAGAGCTTTGGCTCCTGCCGAGGGTCCAAAGATATTCTCGAACAAGGTGGCGGCCACGGTGACCTTTGCCGCGATGAAAGCCTCTTTGGGCACGGCGGCAAACTAATTATCTGCGTTAGCCAGCACCTAACAGTGTGACGAAAGTCAGTGAGCTTACATATGCGACGTTCGCTAGCAGGTAGAGCACTGCAATGACGCTCATTGAGAGAGGAAGCGCGATCCGCAGAGTCTTCTGCGGGTTACGGACTTCAGACAAGACCTGGAAAGAGCAGGTTAGTTAACCACAACAACCGGCTCAAATTCGATGTGAGGCTCACAGCATTGACATTATCATAGCCTTGAAAGGAGAAAATGACGTTGAGGATAGCGGATCCGATGTTGTATCCGCTGTTGGAAGTACCCTCGAAAGCATTGGTAAAGTTGTGAGGGCTATCCACCCTGAGATGGCCGGACAAAGCTGCGAAGCCGCAGCATACAATAAAGAGCAGCGTGAACAGCTTCACCGCGGATAGCAAATCCTGGATCGCTCTTCCTGTTCGAGGCGCAACCGTGTGGATTCCGACGGAGAACACGGCGCCAGCAATCGCAACTCCACGGAGTTTCCATGTCGTCGAGTCGGCACCTGATGCAACAAGGATGTACGACGAGAACGTGATGGCGTTACTTGCAGAAACCTCTATGTTGCGTGTTAGGAAGGTCCTTTAGCTGGCCGGGATATGCTCTTAACGGAGCATCAGGGACACTTACGCAAGAAGACGCAATAGAAGACGTAGATGCAAGTTTGCATAATCCGGGGACTGAAGGATCGCTCAAGGTAGTTCTTGATACCACCAGACCTAGGGATTGCGCTTCCAAACTCGAGCATAACGAAGATACCGCACGTCGAGATGATTGCTCCGATCACCCAGCACATCATTGCCATGCCTACACTACCCGAAAGCTTGAAGATAGTGCTGGGGGTCGAGAAGATGCTGCGCTTGTCAGAAATGGGAAAGATTCCAAGATTGGGGATCTTGAGACGTACCCTGCACCAATGATCTTATTGACAATCAAGGAGACAGCCCCGAAGAGTCCAATAGTCCGCTCTTGCAAGACGTTGACTTCGATAACGCCAAGCTTGACATCCTTGTCCGAATCTTCGCCGCCATCGCTAAGAGAACGAGTGAAAGGCGCAGCTAGATGAAGAGATTAGATACAACTTATTTCCCGCGAACAGAGAACTCTGCTGACCTTGGATACTATCTTGTCTGGACGTCATGGTATCAGTCACGCCAAGGCGAACCTTGGAATCGAATAGGTGATCGGTTGATTAACGCAGCACCAAGGCTTGGAGCAAGTAAATGCAGAAGTTTTACTCTTATGACTCTGAGGCTCATTCAAGCGTCAGTGGTGGTATCCGTTATCCTAGAAAATGTTAGCTAAGAGCGTGCGTCTATGTCTGCACAGCTGCGGGAAGCGAAGCACGCCATTATGGAGCCAAGATGTCGTGTGAATATCCCCGGAGGTCAGCCACGAAGACATGGTAAAGTGAGCGCAACTCCCGGACTTACTCAGGACTTGATAATACTTTTCAGAGGGCCTTTTCAATTAGTCCTAGTGCTCGGGAGGCACTACCGAACGCTTTCCTGCTTCTGGCGACATGCTCTTACTCGGCACAAGGGTGTTGTTGGAGTCGGGGATATTCCGATTATGTCGTGCTTTGCTCCTGTGATTCGCCATTCGATCCACACAAACTATTGGACAACAATGACATGGAACGTTGTCTAGGCTGAACAAAGACCCGGAGCACATCCGACTGCGGACCGAACTGCTCATAATGCTTTCGGTATCTGCTAATGAAGTAGCATAAGTGTAGACATGGAACCTGATTAGGCATTGCAATATGCCACAACGTTGTATACAAACCTAGTACGAAAAGACCACAGAAAGTTCAACACAGCAACGAAATGACAGTTCAACTCGAAGCTTTTGAGGTCCCTGGCGCCAGGACTTATTTTGGCCACGCACTCCCCTATGGATTACAAGTCAAGTCAAGCGGGCCAACTGGTCTCGTACCTCCCGTCGTCGAGTCTGCGGCGGCACTTAGGGCATTGGGCGACTCCGGAAAACTACAAGATCTCTTGGATAAGCACGGTGCCGTCTTGATCCGTGGTGCAGGAAACGCTTCAGCCGAGACTTTTTCAAAACTCGTAGGCGCAGCTGAGAAGGGCAGAGGCTCTTATCCTCATGTTCAAATTGGACTGGCCGGCAAAAGAACTCCACTCGCGGACAATGTCTGGACGGCCAACGAGGGGTCGCCAAGCACCCGATTCTACCAACACAATGAGGTGAGGGCGCCCACGTTTGGCCTCAGGTGATGTGTTGAGTGTTCAAGTAAACTCACGTTCAATTGTCAGTACTCTAGGTACACTCGCTTTCCTTCAAATATTCACTTCTACTGTGTGAAGAAAGCGCCCAAAGGCGAGTTCATCCCGATATTGCGTGGTTACGAGACAGATTGATCTCGTTGACCTGATTGCCTGTGATAGTTCATACTGGCTGACTCTGTGCTGAAGGCGGCGCGACACCAATCGCGAGCAGCGCCAACGTATTCGAAAAGGTCCAAGCCGAGATCCCTGAGCTTGTGGAAGAAATTAGCAAGCGTGGCTTGGGGATGAAGATGGTCTTTCGTGCCCCTGGGAATGAAGCAAAGGTCAATCAATTCAACTGGGCTGGCGAGCACAGCTTCGGGCAAGAACTTACTCCAGAAGACGACGAAGTGACGACAAAGCAAAAAGTTGAAAAGCAAGTCCGCAAGTTGACATCAGATTTCAAATGGAACGAGGATGGAAGTCTCGAGTTGACGCAGCATATTCCCGGTAGGCTCCCGCAGAATGTTGCTCAGCTAGCATCAAGAGAAAGGAATTCAAATCTGACGTGAACTTCAACTATAGGCATACGAAGGCTGCCAGCGAGCGGCAGGCCAGTCTGGTTCAACGGCCTGGTCGGGCGTCATGGTATTACGCGAGACATTGGTGCTCTCGATCCTCCTCATATCGGCCGTGACGGAATGACTTGTAAGTTCTTGCAGAAAGCTTACGTGACGCAAGCTCACTGATATGCTGCCAGATCTTCCTAGCGTCTACGGAGACGATACTGAGATCCCGCGTAGGCTTCTTGACAAGCTTATCGACGTCATTGATAAGGAAGAGATTAGCTTGATTCTTGAAGAGGGAGATCTTTTGTTAGTCGACAACTTCCAAGTCTCACACGGAAGAGAACCGTGGGAGGGCGACAGGCAGATATTAGTATCGATGTGGGACACACCAATCTCAATCGGGGAGTACTGATCCGCGCCCCATGAGTCTCAAAAAATGGCCGATATTAAGTCGTCCAAGGAAACCTCTTCGTAGCTGGAAGAAGAAAGAGTCACAGTTTTGGTACTGTTATTCAGTCCTCAAGTAATATACGGTGAGCTAAGGTAGTCATAGCACGCAGGGACCCTTCCATTTCTCAGTTTCGACTGAAATACACGTCTTTTTCCTTGAATCTCTGAGCTCCACTCCATGACCGAGTTGGCGAAAAGATTTATGTTTCAGATGAGTGATCTTTGGAGCTACTCCGGGATCTTGAGCTTCACCTACAAAGTATACTGATAGGCAGGGTGGCACTGCCATTTTTCACCCAACTTAGTCGACCGTGATCCCAAGCGTGTGCCTTCGTTCTGAAGATCCTTGTCCCCGGCAACGCGAAGCTTACGGTTACGCCAACGAAGGTAGAAGTGCAGCGAAGTGGCCAGAAGAATGCACATTCCAGAGAAGGCCACATTAATGATGTTTGCCTGCCAATACTGCGGGCCATGGGACTTTGGGTAAAAGTAGCTTGCGTAAATAGAAGCCAGGTTAGATCCGGCGTTCACGACAGCGTATGATACAGCTCGTTTAGTCGCCGGCCGAGGAAGTGTGGTCGAGACCCATGACAAGATACATCCGAACGAGCCATATACACTCATCATCATGAATGTCGCCGTGTATCGGGCTGCAACGTTGAGAGTAGTTGCCGAGATGATGAAGCCGACGCTGCAAAAGACCTGCGGCCACACGATGTGCAGCCATCTCTCACGATGCTTGTCGCTGTGCCAAGAGTTTGTGATGCCCAATATCGCTGCGAACACGTATGGCGGAGCAGAGAGAAGCAATGTATTTCTTTGGTTGTAACCGAGTGTTGCTACAATGGTGGGAAAGAAGTTGGTAAAAGCAGCCGCAGTGTTGAGTCCAAGTTGCATGAGCCAGATCATGTAGAGTGCTGGATCCGTAAACGTCATCTTCAGACCTTGCAGCGCTGATGCTTCTTCTCGATTATCTTCTTCGACTGCTTCTTCGGTGATTCGAAGGATAGCAAGCTTTCTCTCCTCATCGGTGAGCCATTTGGTAGTCGCTGGATAGTCCGGAAGTGTGAGATACGTAACGATGGCGACCGGAATTGGGATTGTGCCCTCAATGATGACTGTTTTGATGAAGTCAGAATATCACCAGACACTGATTTCAAAAAGAAAAACTCACAAAGCCATCTCCAATCTGCGAGGCCCAGCTTTCCATTCATGCCTCCCATGATGGCGCTGCCCAGAAGGCCACCGAAAGCACCTGCCATCTGTCCTGCAGCATAAAGTACCGAGATACGGACGGCCAGCTCCTTCTTCGTATACCACGAGCTGAAGAGGTACAAGGCACCAGCTATAGCGTGGTTAGCCACAAGTCTGTGATAGTAATTAGTGGAAACTAACGGAAGAAGGGTGCCTCAACAAAGCCCAGGAGAAATCGGAGAACTACAGCTCCCTTGTAGTTTTGAACAGCGCCGGTGGAGGCACTGACCACAGCCCAACAGCACATGACGACTGGAAGAAAGATGCTGGGTCTCATCTTGTTGAGAATCATGTTTGTGGGAACCTGTGTGAGGATGTATCCAACGAAGAAGACACTGATAATGGTATTGTACTGGGTTCCAACCAGACCGATGTCATTTTCAAAGTTTCCTAGACGGGCTGTCGCGATCTGATCACAGTTAGTGTGATTCCTTGTAGCGAAGATCACATTGCTTTACATTGTTGCGGTCCAAGTAATTGAGCACATGTACTTCTCAGTAACCATGTCAGTGAGAGCTCCGCTATGAAAAATCTGGATGAACTTATAGAGTAGCATCATCAAGGGCATCCTAAAACAGCGGTCAGACACACCAGACTACGTACGATAAGCCATCGAGCCACTCACATCCGAACGTCAATCCTCCGCACAAGGCGTCGATCTTTCAAGTCCCTGTTCTCGATGGGTACATCTTGGGATGTGTCTGATTTCAGTGGGTGATCGAGCGTTTCGATATGAAGGCCCAGAGTGTCGTCTTTACGAAGGTCATTCAACGCCATCCTTGTGTGCAAATGAGAATTTCTAGTGCGTTCGATCTTGACATGAACGCATTGGTGTGGAATGAGGCTCGGACGTAGTCACATACTTATTTACGGCCGACCGAAGAGAGGTCATCGGACTGCTTGCCGATATCCGCGACCTACTCACGGATACAACTTTTTTATTGCTCAGACCTAGTTCCTTACCCCGCAAGGAATCGTGGAGAATCTGTTCTAGCAGTGGATCTTGTGCGAGAAGAATGGCTACATGGCAATAATAGTCAGATGTGTGCTGAAATCAGGCCAGGCGAGTGGATTGGTTGGTCGGAACGTGCTTACGAGCCGGTCGGTTCTCGCATGATCTTGGTCTACTGTACCATGAACAGATAGATCGACAGGGCTTCATCGGAAAGTAATCTTGTTGGCTGTTTTGAGACATGGGTGTTGATGCTGGAAGGAAGGTAGCATCAACTATGTCATGTGGTGCTTAAGAAGTTGCCTGCAACGAGTGCAATTGTCACAACATCCGGACTCGGACCATCGAGCTCATAGTCCTACAAGACAAGCCTACACAAGCCTTCGAGGCTTTAATACACTTCCCAGAACCACCGTATGCTCAGCTCTACGTTACGGTACCTAGGTCTACATTCATATCTGAATTTTAGTATTCATCAGCATTCCACCCCAGTGAAATTAGGCACTTGCGCATCAAGATCCCAGTTTCCCCGCAACCCCGGATATCCATACCCGTTGGCGTTAACCCCAGATCGTGGGGTTGATTATCTGTAAGGGCTTTTGAACGTACAGCACAACCTGTTGGCGCCGCTAGAATACAGCCAGCAGCACTGGTTGGTCCTACGGCTCGGGAATCGGATATTCTGAGGTTCTGAGCTCGCATCAAAGGTCCTAGCGGTCGGGTATTGTCACAATACGTCACGCTTCCTCACAAGCCTCGCTTTGTCAGCGGGGTCGATTCAGTTGAGCTGCACGCAAGTACAGGGGAGAGGATGTAAGGAAACCAAGCGAGGGCTTGCATGATGTGCTCGGAGAAGTCCCCGATATCGCTGAGTATGGCGGGAACTTTGCCCGAATACCGTGCTTTTCTGCAGAAGGACATGAATGGGCAGATATTTTGACATGTTCCAAGGTTTAAAGACTCTGAATCCCCATCTCATCGGACTTTGTTGTAAACCAGCACATTTTGACCGCGTGTCTCCACCGGTACACGACGTATTGCAAGATAGATCGAGACTCTTCCCAGCCCAGCAACTCAGAAAATCTCTGAATAATAACGCAACCATAAGATGCCTAGTGCTATCAAGCCAATCGTACTCCACATAGGAGACCCTATACAGTATAATCCAGAGCGATACAGGGCGTTGGAAGAGATCGCTACAATTATCAGGCCAACCATAGAAGAGAGGCAGAGGGACGCCTTCTTGAAGGCCCTGAAGGAACAGCAATGGGGCAATTTCTCAGCGATCCTGCGACCCTTTTGGAACTCAGGCGGTGAGATGGGCCTTTGGGACGAAGAGCTCATCTCATTCTTGCCTTCCTCCGTCAAAGTCTTTGCCTCCGCAGGTGCTGGATATGACTGGGCAGATGTTGGTATTTTGGCTGGAAAAGGTACACCACTACCCTCCTTCTCAACATCTTCGAGACGTTTTGTTGACATGAACAACAGGAATCTTGTATTGCAATGGAGCATCAGCATCGTCAGAAGCTGTGGCAGACACGGCGCTTTACCACATTATATCAGTGTTCCGCAACATGCAATGGACCAATACGGCAGCACGTAGTGGTAACGCAGACCAGTTCCTTGATGCACACCGGCATAATAGCGAGACAGCACACAACCCTGCAGGGCACACACTCGGCATTATTGGCCTCGGAAACATCGGTTATCGCATTGCACAGAAGGCATTTGCCGCCTTTGGCATGAAGATAGCATATGTCGATCCTATCCTCAAGCAAGCGGAGCAGGAAGCCACTGTCAAAGCAGTGAGATACCCAGACCTGGACTCCATGCTCGCTGTCGCAGATTGTGTGGTTATTTCCGCCCCTGGAGACGCAGAAGGCGGCAAGGCCCTTATGGATGCCTCACGCCTAGTGAAGATGAAAGCAGGATCTCGATTAGTCAATGTTGGGCGTGGAAACCTGGTAGATGAGGAGGCATTGGCTGATGCGCTAGAGTCAGGGCATCTTTTCGCTGCTGGACTCGATGTACACTCGAACGAGCCTCACATCAACAAGCGTCTGATCTCCATGAGAGATGTAAGTCTGACATGCCACACCGCTGGTGGAGCTGTTGAGACGAGAATCGGCTTTGAGGATTTGGCTATCCAAAACGTCACTGAAGTACTACTAGGGAAGGAACCTTTGACGGCGGTGAACAAACATTTAATTGGGTAGATGAGACGTGAAAACCTATACTATGATTAAGTCTCTTGTCTGAGGAAGACTGCATCTGCGTGGGTTCTCCGTTCTCGTCGTTATTATTGTTGTTCTGTTGAGGAGGACTAGCTAGCTTGATAGACTGCAACTCCTTGATGCATATGAGCTCATGCGCGGGGAGTTGTTCATCTCGAACATGGAGTCAAATAGTCAAGGATTTAAAGCGCTCAGTTTTCAATTCTTAGTGGAAATTATTTTGGTATCAGTGTATTGACTTGTATCATCTTTTCAACATTGATCCAGGTTAAACACCAGGCTGTGCTACTAGCCATGAACCGTCCAGGTCCAGGTCTACCTTGCCATGTAAGACCAAGCTAAGACGGCTTTGCTCTATCCTTTTCCGTTGTCTAGCATCATGCTGTATGTCCTGGTCGGTTGGATTTGGGGTTACCGATCAGGGCGCTTTCAGCTCATAACAAAGACTCGGCCATTGATGGGCACATGAAGTTTGCATGTGCATGCCTTAGCGTGCAAATATGCTTCATGATCTCCGTAGCTACCCAGAATTTGACTCAATCAAATTGGAAAGATGTCTCAAAAGGAATCTATGACATAGGTAGTCTGATATGGTATGATTGATGCTGATCACCCGGGTCTCTTTCTCTACACATCATTATCTTAGTATTCAGGGGAGATCACGATTACGAAATCAACTATGAGACAGATGACAACATGGTCTTCTAATACTTTGTTCTTCGGGACAACGGAAATTAATTTAGCCGACTGTAACAATGACCTTGCTGAGTGACTCCGAAGGGGCTGCCTAGAGAGAACTGGACCGGATTCTAGTGATATGGGCAGCACATGCTAGACGAGGGACACTAGTGACAATAGAGGAGAGCCTAGAAATATCTGGTGATCCGAGAGGAGAGTACAAGCAACTCTTGGCTGCAGTTTTGGGTGCAATTGCAGTAAGTCAGCCTGCTGTCCAATCCACTGGATCTCAGGTGGAGTAGGATGAGGGAGAGTAGGCACACGTGAAGTAACACTCCGATGCATACACGCAACTAAGTGGTGGCATGAACATTGATTCGAGAGACTGGGTATCTACTATGGCCGAATGGAAATAAGCCACCTGTTTTCCGTTGGAAAAGATGTATGCTTAAATCTCGAAGACCCGTGTCTAATTCTATATGACTGGAATAATTCCATCATTATACGTAACAACCTAGATCCAAAATCGGTACGCTTTTCAACCCACTCACGAACGCTGATTTCTCAAACGCTCAGACTCAGCCAAAGCGAGTGCGCGAATAACAACAAGATGGCGGGTGCAGTCTTCGCAAACGCCCCTAACAACGCTGCCTCCATCGAGCTCAATAATCTTCTTGCAAGGCTCGGGGTTTTGACAGCGCTCAAACTTGCCGGGAAGGAAGACTGAGGCGTATGGCTTACCGCATTGCGTGCAATAGAATGCAACGGACGGTTGGTCACACATATCGAGCGGTGGGCGCAGGATGTTCCGCAAAGGTTCTTCGAGTAGAGTGGCTTTAGGTCTGAGGAGGTTGCAGTGGATCAGTTGTGTAGGTATAGGATGCTATGTGTTGTCGTGGAAATGGTACGCTTATCGTGGGTAGGATTCTGATGTACCTTGTGTCCTAATGTGGAGGAATCATTGCACTTTTAAAGATTTTGGCGAAGGTCTAATCTACGTTTCTAACCTGGTCACCTAAGCAATGAATGCCATGATAGTGGCATTGTAACGAAAACAATCATAAAAAGGGCTTTGTTCAGCGTCTGAAACATCGAATTTGGGAATTGAGGCTTTGCGTCTGCAAAGAATTGATTGGACCAAGCACCTTGGTTTTGAAGTTTTGAAAGTAAACTGGATCTATCTCAAGGTTTTCAAGGTCAAAAATAGCACGGAGACTTCGAACAAAGCATGATTTCGTGGCAGTGTCAACATCGAGTTGAGCTATGCGTCCAACATCAGGTTACTGCTAGAACAACGCAATTGTCTTCGGCGCGCAGGAAAGAACTTGTGTGTTACCGTCAAGAACAACGCGAAGGCAACAATTAAGGGAAGTAGACATAAGTACTAAGTTGATAACTGGATATATCCGAGAGACCTAGCATAACTACGTAGTAGAGTAAGTAAGTGCTTATAAAGCTGGGAAGTGCGGGAAAGCACATGCAACTCTTGACCATAAGTATGCCTGCCTCAGTTCAGCTATCTCAATTGACCTCTTTTACTTAAGGTATTGAATGGGGGGGGGGGGGTGGTCTGGTATTGACTAGCCTACACGTTGTCTACCTAGCCCAAATACCAAGTTGATCGTACCGCCCAAGGTTCTGGAAAGCAAATCATGGTGACTGAAGAGATCTGACGATACCTCAGCCATCGCTGGCTCACGACATAATGATACCCACGACAAGTCGAAAAACGGAAACCCTGAAATTGGGGGGTTTGCAGCATGGCTCTTCTACCACCTCGGCTAGCATCATCGCGAAAACCGAATGGAGCCATTTTAGCCAGGTTCGTCCACTTTTAGCTTAAATGCAATGCAACCTGCCACACCCGGCATCCCGCCCAGGGTCAATTGAGCCAGGCATTTATCCGTGAGGGGTGCAGGTCCAACGTCATTTACCCCGGATTCATTCAGAGCGATATAAAGCATTCATACCATGACGAGATTAGTCCGTGACATCTGGTAGAAGGTTGGGTAGTACCATATTTGTGTTGCATTTGGGTTCAATGACACTGAGACAGCCGATATGAAGTCCACTATTTTCATGCCACTGGCCTCAGTCGTTGCAATGCTTCCGAGTGAGTTCACCAGGTTATCAGCATTGACCAAACTATCTACCCAAGGCTAACTTTCCGGATAGCTTTCGCACAAGGACTTGTGAACCCTATCATTCCGGGGTTCAATCCGGACCCAACGATCATTAGAGTTGGTCAAGACTTCTTCCTTGCAACTAGCACTTTTGAGTTCTTTCCCGGCGTCCCCATTTACCACTCAACCGACCTGTGAGTCTACTTGTTTCCGAGCGACCTGCGTAGCACCGTGTTACCCAATGCTCACTCAACCGATGCAGCGTGAAGTGGGAAAACATTGGCCATGCACTATCGCGGCCGTCCCAGCTGAACATGCGCGGTACCGCTCCGAGTGGTGGTATCTTTGCGCCAACGCTCAGACACCACGACGGTCTCTTTTACTTGATTGACACAGTGTTCGACGTGATCAGCCCTCCGGACAATGTGAGTTCTTTGTGCGTAGTATGTGAGAGGAACTTTGGCCACTTACTGGTGGGCTTTTCCCATAGGTTACACGGGTGCCCCGTTCATTTTACGTCACGACCCCGAATATATTTGATCAGGCTAGTTGGAGTGAACCTACATATGTTGACCAGTGGGGCTTCGACCCGGACCTCTTTTTTGACGATGATGGGAAAGTCTATTTGACTTCGACATTCTCTGAATTTGTCGAGAATGGTAATTTTGCAAACTGGATCACCGAGATCGATATCAAGACTGGCGACTCCTTGAGTAATTCCCGTGTTCTCCACACGACAACGGTACCTCCAGAGCTTGGCTACCCACTCGTAAGCCTCATTCGCCATAACGACCAGCATAATATGAAACCGTCTTAGCTAATCGTCAACCGAACTATCTTAGACCGAGGGGAGCCACTTGTACAAACTCAACGGCACATATTACATGGTCACTGCCGATTCGGGAACCGAGGCTAATCACAAAGCAAATGTATATCGCTCTCAGACTCTGGACGGGCCGTGGGAAGGAAACCCTCATAACCCTGTATTGTGGAATGGCGAAGATATGTCTCTGCCAGTACTTGCTACGGGGCACGCAGACATTGTTGACGACGCCGATGGAAACTGGTGGGCCGTTTTCCTAGCGATTCGACCACAGAATCCTAGGAACAGTACTGGACTTCCTCAGCTTGGTCGCGAGACCTTCCTGTGTCCTGTTACATGGGACGCTGACGGGTGGCCCATGTTCAACAACAACGAGCCGATTGCTGAATACATGCCCGACGTTCTGTACGACTTGAACCGGCCCAAGATATGGCGCGACGATTTCGAGGGTGGACTCACTGATGAAGCCTACTACTATACACGGACACCATACAAAGGCTTCACAGACTTCGAGTCCAGCCCTGGCAAGCTCCGAATCAGAGGCAATGTTTACACTCTGAACGATCGCGAAACCCCGGCAGCACTACTTCGCAAGCAGGTCGACATCAATACTACCTTTAGCACCGAAGTCAGCTCTTTCAGCCCGGCATCGTGGAGACAGGAGGCCGGTGCGAGTGTCTATCTCAGCATTCACTACCACAACGAAGTCGCCATTACTTACTCGAATGATACTGGTAGGCGATGCATAGTCACGCACACTAGAACGGGTCCCGACGCTACACTCAATACTACCTACATTGAGGATGAGGATGTTGCCAATGGTGAGCCAGTGAAGCTTTTCATCGAGGCCAAGGATGTAGGATATCGTTTAGGATACTCTACAGGAGATAAAGCGCCAAGTTGGCTTGCGACTGTTGAGAATCGCTGGCTCCAGTCATACGTTGAGGGCTGGCAGAACTTCGTCGGAACCCATTTCGCGATCTACAGTACCGGAACCAGACTTCCAACTCTAAATCCTGCGGTATATTGAATCTATTCCAAGCTTCCATAACGTAGCAAGGCTAACATCACTGTTTTTTAGGACTTTGGGTACGTCCAGACTGAACTGAACTAGCGTGGCGGTATGAGGTTAGAGGAGCATTTGCAGGGACAGGCAACCAGTTTAATCGATGTGTTTCACCGGATAGATGTAGCTATCACCTTCGAATGTCATTTCCGAGAAGGAAGACACATCTGAAATGGTGCTCTTACATTACACATGTGTATCTTGCATCAACACGTGGGTAGATCTTTCAGCTCTGTAGCCTCTATTATTTGGCATTGACCGTTTCTTGAGGTTCACAACATCATGTACTTAATCAAGTGCCTTGAAGAAAAGAGCCCGAAGTAGTGACTTCTGAGGCGTGAAAGCATAAACGACGATAATATGTTTCAAACTTCTTGTAATTCCATGAAATGTGTTTTAAGATGATCTGCCTCCTTTGGCGTTTGCTACACCTCCTTACCTACTTTGTTTTCTTATACACGCGACCGCTAGATCAGGTCCTCAGATGTAACTTCAGGACTTAGTGCAGACCAGGCGGCAGTACCTTCTGACAGGCCCGAGGTTCAAGACCATCCTGATGAACGATCAGAATGACCCGTGTAAGTTGGGGTTCCGAGAGTTAGACCAACTTGATTGGCTCGCACGGAACGGTCCCTCTCCATTTCTCAGTGTCCACCTCTGAAATTCCGTTTCGATCTGCCGGTGGAGCAATCCGATTGGCCCAGACGGAATCATCAAACTGTATGAAGCAATCCGAAGTATGTTTTCGGAATTTCGGCCGCCCACACTTGAATGTGAAGGGACATGGACTTACGAGGGTCTGCACTGCTGAAGTCAAACAAGCTAGGCATATATTAGGCCTTCATTATCCTCCTAGATGTGCGTAAATCCAATGACCCGATAACACCAGAGATCAGTCATCCAGGCAGACATGGACGCCACACAGCTATTGCCAGTCGCAACCGCGCACCCTTTCGCGTCGACCACAGCCTTTTTGGCTGTTCTCATCGGCCTCTATACGTTCTACTACCGGAAAATACATCCTTTGGCCAGATTCCCTGGCCCTTTTCTTGCGTCAGTTACCAACTTCTGGAGACTCCGGGAACTATGGAACTTGCACCTACCGGAGACCCTAGTCGTTCTGCACGAGAAGTATGGGGATGTCGTCCGCATTGGCCCCAACATGCTTTCCTTCAGACAAGGGAGTGCCGTACCGAGGATTTACAAGGCTGGCCGAACTTTGGCCAAGACAGCTTTTTATGATGGCTTCACTTCTTTCAATCCCAATTTGTTTGGAACTCGAGATGAAGAGGTGAGTCGTTGGAAGTTTCGCAAGGTATGGGAGATCACACACTGATTTTCCAAGGTACACTCGATGCGACGACGGCAGATGGCACACGCATTCTCTTTGCAGTCGATCAAAGAAATGGAGCAGCACATTGACGGTCACATGCTTCAATTCCGCAATAACCTCGACGAGTACTCCCAAACTGGCCAAGTTTTCGACCTCAAGGAACTGATAGCCTTCTTTGTCCTTGATGTTCTAGGAGATCTCGCCTTCCGCTGTCAATTTGACTCGCAGATCGAAAAGGACATTTCGAAATTGCCTCCCATCAATGACCACATCTTTCTTGCTTGCCTAATGGGCATGATTCCTGATTTTATGCCGCTCATCAAAGCTATCTCTCCATGGATCCCGATTCCATGGCTGCAACAGCTTCTCGCAGCTAGACAAAATCTCAAGACCCTTACCGCGCAGTGTGTGAGAAACCGATTAGCTGACACTGGTGCTGCTCGAAAAGACCTCATCACCAGTCTGATCAACTCCGTAGACACGGAGACAGGCGCTAAGCTCACAGAGCTAGACATACAAACAGAGGCATTTGCGTTCATGTAGGTTGTTCGACGTTGCATTGCTCAGTTGATTTTCTCCGCTGTTTTCTCTAACATATTATTAGTGTTGCTGGCTCCCATACGACGTCCGGAACCCTTACTCTTCTCTTTTCTCACATTCTTCAAAACCCGGCTGTACATACCAAGGTGGTAGAGGAGGTCGATGCAGCGGTTGATGATGTTGGTTCGGCCATCGTGCCTATCAAAGACCTTGAAGCAAAGCTTCCATACGTCATGGCTTGTCTAGATGAAAACTTCCGGATGAACTCTGTTTTCACTATGCCCTTGGAGCGAGAAGTGACTGCCAAGGAAGGCTTCGAAATCGAGGGCTACGTAGCTCCCAAGGGCGTGCGTCTCTCCCTTCTCCCAAGATTGGTGTAACTGGAATTGCTGACAAAAATAACAAGACCGGCCTGTTCAGCCTGAACCACGTTGTTCATCATAATCCTACCATTTGGGGCAAAGACCACGATGTTTTCAACCCCTCAAGATTCTATGATCAAGAAGGGGAGAAGCTCCAGCGTTTCCTCAGCCCCTTTAGCATGGGTCATCGCATGTGTATCGGACGCAACATGGCCATGACGAACATACTCAAGCTTGTTGCAACAACATTTAAATGTTATGATCTTGAGGCGGTGGAGCCGATGGAAGCTATCTCTACTATCAGCGTTGGAATTTCGGAGAAAGAAGGTCCATTGTTGTGTCGTGTTCGTAGAAGATAGGTTGAAGGTGCAAGAAATCGAGTAACGTGTCTCATATCGGCGTCTTTGTGATTATGAGTTGGTCGAAAAAGAAGGAGAGAATGGCGGTTATGTGACTGCGTCATGTATGAAAATAATCAAGCTTGAATGCTTCTATCTGTGCTAGCGAGTGCTGGCTATTTCAGTTATCTCGAATGACCTGACTACACTCAAGTTGTTCCAGGGTTTATAATCAATGTGCAATCAACTATAAATGAAGTAAGATGGCTTCTGGATAGGTTCATGATTCGATCCTAAGAGGTACGTTGTATCCACCTATTAAATCTCACTCTCTGACTCTAACATCCTTATCCAATGTAAGTTGACGCGGTTTATGTTCAAGCTCCATTGAAAGCTGAGCTTTTCAAAGTCGATGCTATTTGGCCGCATGCTGCTCGAGGAAACCAATCGCCTTCCTGAGAGACTCCACAGCAGTCACCGAATCCCCAGCTGAAGTCTCGACGTTGACGTTACCGGACCTTCCATCGAAACCGTGCTCCGCATCAGATGGGAACTCTGCCAACACACGCACTCCAGATACCTTGAGCTTCTCTGCGGCTCTGGTGCTACACTCAACCGGTACAGCTGAGTCGTTCGCACCATGGAGTAGCATGACAGGCGGGAAGCCACTGAAATCCCCAAAGTCAAGTGGGAATAGATGTTGATGTTCTTTGGGTACTGCTGCAGCTCCTTGAGTCGCAATCTGACGAGTAAGACCAGAGACGCCAGTCATGTAGTCGGGGAAGAGGGCGTCGATGTGCAGTGCCGACGTAAGAGCAAATCTGGGGTCAGCGGACGGGTCGCCTGATATCGGATAAGCTGAGACAGGCTTCCTCTCTTCGCCCGAAGCCTTGGCCATGGGCCACTTTTCCAGGATTGGCCCGGTCTCGACTGGCGGCCGGCCGAAGATATTTTTCCCGGGAGTTGTGTATCGACTTCCAGAAGGATCGAGCATCCCGTAGATGAGCAGAAGTGCGCTAGGCTTTTGAGCAGCCGAGACGGCTGTGTTAAGAGCTAGATACCCACCAGCGCTTGACCCACCGACTAAAATTGAACCGACCGGACGGCCTATGATCTCCGGCAGTGACGACAGGGCCCATTTATAGGCGTCCGCTGCATCTTCAACGGAGTCGTGTGCGGTCGACTCGGGCATCAAGCGGTACTCGGGAGTCACAAAGACCCATCCACGGGAGGCGGAGGCATGTACAAGCCAGTGAGGCAAGAACGAATACCGATCTCCGACGATCTAGGAAAGTCTTCCTGTTAGCTTCGAACGGCGTAGATCAAGCGACCCAGGGAGATAATTCATATAGGTATGCGGCTCGAACGGAAGCAATTGCTTACAAGAAAGCCACCGTGATAATGCAGCAGCACAACAGCGGGAGAGCCATCTGACTTCTCGGGGTACACGACGTCGGCGTTGATGGTTATATCTGAGGTAACTTTGAAGGGCACTGTTCGTGACGTGTACCCCGCTAATGTCTCCATCGGAAATGGGGAGCCCATGTTAGGAAGTGCTGCGATCGTAGAGAGACAATTGCTAGGAATGCAGGGTCTAAAAGCTGAACAAACACTAAAGTAAACACTGATACAGATCTTGATCACATCAACTTCAGCATTTGCTAGATGAGACAGCGGGGTTGACTGCACTGAGCTGGCTCTTTTGCTTGGTTATTAATAAGTTCCTACTCTGACGGGATGACCGGAGTTAGTTTGACCCCGCTATTAGTTCCGGCTCGGAAGTGACCGGAACTTGCTCAATCGCCAATCGGAAAAGTCCAATTGCCCGTTGTACAATTCGTGGACATGGGCGTAAGATCAAAGAAACCGTTCAGCTGGTCAAAAACCATCATATCTCCCATATTGCCAAACAATAGAGCATCAGAAGGGCTTTCGACACTATCTCTCTGTTCACCTTGCCCGCTGCTAGTCGATGCCGTGGCCGAAGAGGCAGACAGCCGTGTCGTGAGTTTCCGTAGGCCTTGAAGACGCTCCCAAAGAGTCAGCAACAACGTCGACCTATTGCTTAGGGCTCTGATCATATCCAGCGCAATGTCAAACTCGACAGTGACCTTGTCGCAGAACATGGAGCTGGCATTCACAACAGCCAGCAACAGATTGCCAAAAGCAGTTAGTAAGAGGTGCTTGAAAAAAAGCGGATTACGCTTTATGATGGCGGTATTTTCGTTGAGGCCTGAGAGCATCTGTAGCGACTCTTTGGCAACGGCGACGGCCTTGTGAGCATGCCTCTGATACTGCGTGATCCGCGTACCAGATTGGAGCACCGGGCGACAGATCAAGTTGTGCAGATGACTCTTGCGGAGAAATAGCACAGCCTGAACATGTCGAACCTCTTGCCCCGGCTGGATGGGTTCAAGCTTCAGGTCGTCAGCCAGGAGTTGATACCACTGCTCTATCCGGTAATCGAGATAGTCGATTTTGTCGATATTAAGCTCACTCTCTTTCTCGACTTGGCTATTGAGGGCGTACCACGTCTTGCCCGCTAGTTTGGTCCAGTCGAGAAGCGCGGTCATCACCGGATCATGTCCGTTCTATCGGCTTGTCAGCAGGTCTTGGAGAATAATCCAGTACAACGTCACAGATTTGGTGTAATCTTACCATTGCGAGTAGTGTGGGGTCGACATGGCAGTCCTGTATATAGAACGGTATCCCCTGGCCCAGGCTTGTCCTTCTCTCTAACATGTACACACACCAGAACGTCTGTAGCCCCGCTGCTTGCTCTTCCGAGTTGGCAAAGCGATCTACAGAAGCCCTGCGATGTAAGCCCATTTCGAGGCAGAGCCGAGCTGCAAATCCAATGATGCGACCGGTCCGTACTTCTTCATCAAGGTGATAGTAGTAAAGGGCCTACGTGTGCACCCGTCAGTAACATCACCCGGGAAAAATATTCCGCCTGTTCCAGGTAAGAGCAATACATACCATCAACACCAGCATCTGTATGTTGCCAATCGAGTTTTTACCCCATAGAAGCCCCTCGCCAGCTTCGGTGGCGCTCTGAAAGAGCCTCTGAGCTAAGTCATTGCAATTGCCACTCTCCAAAGTCAAGCAAGTGGCCAGGATAAGTTTTAGTTTGTTAGTATCACTGTGGAAAAGACACTCTGCCAGAGTTCCTCGACCCCGCGTCTCGTGAACGTTGACGGCCCGTAGAGTGTCAAACACGTTACTAGCAACCTTGAGCAGCTGCTCTTCGCTGACGACGGCGTAGAGAAAGCCGGTGCCCGAAAACCACTCTCGGATGTGGTTGGTAGCATCTTCGAGGCTGATTTCCCATAGCGGATCTCGGGCCAGAATCTTCATGAGTGGCCCATATTGCGCCAGCTGAGATGGCGTATTTGAGGCAGGGTTGGTCTTCGGAGTAGACTTGTCCAATATAGAGGGCGGTATTCCCATGGCCTCGAGATTGCCTTTGACAACTCCAAAAGTGAACTCAGAGCTTGATGGGCCACAAAACTCCGGAGAATTACTACTTGCGTCACATGACATGAGATTTGGCCTAGACTCAAGGACAGGACTCGTCTCTTGGCCAGGCGATTGTGATGATGGAGTGTCTGTAGATACAGCTTTTGAGACGCTGAGTGAGTTTTCATGCTGAGGAGAAGTATGAGGTCTGCTTGGATCCGCGTTCCTTAATTTTCGTGAGCTATATAGATCCCCCGGTAGGATAGCGAAGGGGAGAAGATATCCGAAGATTTACTTGAAGATGTACAATATGTAATTGAAGGGATGTAACTTACTTTGAACTGAGCTTCGGAGTGCCTAGAACTCGACGCTGTGGGTGGTATTGGCATGTGACCGAATTCCGTGTGCATGCCGCGCAGGGGTTGACACCGTCGCACTTGATCTTCTTCCTCTTGCATTCGATGCTTGGAAACGTGTTAGATATTTCCTGACCTGGGCGGGTCTTCGGAAGGCTTACCATGCTTGATTGACGTAAGGGACCCTTCTATTCCGCCGATGACGCAGTGCGGTAAGATAATCACTGCTCCCGTCGGAGGGCACCATTGCAGGATTGGATTCCGACAGTGTCGAGCGTCAGAGCTGAGATAGTTTCGAGAGACTCAGCGTGATGTTATTTGGAACATGGTCGGGATTTGAGCAAGGACACTTGAAGTGGACGAAGGCATAGAACCACAGAGCCCCTTCTCATGTGCCTAGAGAAAGTTCACTGAGCATTGGCTCGGGTGTTCCGGAATTTCAAAGGTATCCATGCTGCCTAATACCAGGTAGTCTTAGTTGCCCCGATAGCGAGATTTCACCGCGCGGGGAACTCTCCAGATTTACCCCGCATTAAGGACGATCACCCGCAAGTTCAAGCTTCGGCAAAGGGGAGAGAGAGAGACAGCAATTATCATACGGATCGTACGGATACACCTACTTGAAACATACTTCTGTTCATAATTGGATACAACGATAAGACGCTAGTTCCGGATCATGGCTGGAACTTATGACCTTTTCTCCAGCACCCGATTCACCCTGCATTCAGTGTCTTTCTGTCTGCAATCGACAATTTCGGGCCGTCCTAGTGCTGTCGATACCTAGGTTGCGAATCACAACCCCCGGGTCTTGCAAGCCTTTCTCACGAGGTCGGCAATGCGAGCTACGTAGCAATCCAAAATATGTTCGCTTAGGTTGATACCTGCAGCGTCCGGATTTCTTGAGGTGGGATCATGAATATTGCAGATGGATGGAATTAATTCAATGGTCCCGTGGCGAGGAGACTACTGACTTATAGTATGGGTACTACCCCGGGGTTTAGTGCAGCAGCCACTCTTTCCAGGCCAGTAAGCAACTGAGCTGCATCCTGAGAGAACACAATACGGAACCACCCAACACTGTCAGAACCAAAGTCTTTTCCCGAAGAAACATATACCTTGTGTTTCAAAAGAGCTTCATCAAGAAGTCATCCAGGTCCTCGTCTTCGACAGTTCCAGGGTTGTGTCTTTTCCAAGCACTCCCAAGATCGGCCCAGAGGAAGAAAGCCGCGTTCACGCCGGTCGTGTAGGGGATGCCCTATCCTGCAGTTATTGATTGACTTCCTTTCCCCTCCATCCGTGACTGTGTCACTCGGTAACATGCCGCAAATCCTTGTATTGATCAAGTTGTCAGCGACATCGTCGGCACGTATGTTGTCAAAGTTTCACTAAGCGACTTGGTTGTAAACTCGCCTCCTATGCAGGTGTACATCAAAGTAGCGGACCTTGTGCAAGCAATAGAGACGATCGATTATGGGGACGCCAGCGAGGGGCCAGTGTCTTTGCCAACATCTAAGGCAACAGACAGTTTTGACATGCCGAATATTGCCTACGCGGTTGCGAATCATTTGAAGATCGAAAGTCGGCTAGACAGATACAAGCTCGATCCCAGGCTTTTCATCAAGCATCCCGAATTCCTCGAAAGCACTGGGAAACTCATGGCACAGGGTACGCCACTACGGCCAGAGTACTCATCGTGTCTCTCTTTCCCCGCCTCGATAGATACCAAGACAGCATCTTCATATCGCAACTCTATTGCCTTCACTTGCTTCAACGTATATGAAAGCCAAAGATAGAAATCTTTCGTAATTGATACGTCAAATAACCAGGTTACTGTCTTCCGTTACATCGCAAGAAATCCATACGCGATAGTTACAGCGCCTTCGGTCGTCGTTCGATGGTGACCCACATATCCTTGAAGAAGCTGACGCCCCCTTTCACGACATACTTACCAGGCTCTCCACTATTGAGGATCTCTGGCTGGAAAGCCCTGAAGAATTGAAGAGGCCCTTTGAGCAATTCCATCATTGCAAGGTCTTTGCCCAGGCAAACTCTGGCCCCGTAGCCAAAACCCATGTTGTACTTGAGCATCTCCTTTGTCTTCTCCTCGCTTTCTAGCCATCGCTCAGGTCGGAACTCGGTAGCGTCGGGACCAAAGATGTTCTCGTCGCGATGCACCAGCCACGGGTTGCAAGTAACCTCAGCTCCTTCTGGTACGTGCTTGCCGTAAAGCTCCATACCGCCTTTTCCAGCAAGCCGAGGAAAGATGTTGGGCGCTGGAGGATTCAATCGCATGGCTTCGCGAATGCACGCCACATAGAATGGGCAATGTTCCTGGACTTCCGCGTACTGAGGCATCTCTGAAAGATTACCAGCTCGAGTCTGCTCGTCAATCTCGGCCATGAGACGATCATAGACGTCGGGATGTGTCATGATATGCATCATGAAAGCCTGGAATGCAGTGCCCGTAGTATCTGCTCCAGCAAGCAAGACGAGTAAGATTTCGGCTTTGATGTAGTCCAGATCAAGAGGTTTTCCATCCTCGTCCCGGGCTTCAATGAAGCTAGGAACATGTGAGTAAGTGATACTGAGAAACTTTGGATAATTTTAGGGCAGAATACTGACGTTTGTAGTAAATCGATACGTCCATCTGTCGTCCCTTTCTCGATGTCTTTGAATCTTTGAACGATAAGCCCGTCTCGGAATCTCATCAAAGTCCCGATTCCAGAGTCCTGCTCCGGCGATGCGACAAGGTATTTCCCCAAAAAAGTGCTCTTGACCCAATTTGTTAACGGATAGCACCGTGCCAGTATACCAAACGGCACAAGGCCGTCGTGAAAACCTTGGATGAGTCCCTCAACATCTTTTCCCTGTTCAATGAAACCGAAAGGCTGTCCGAAGCCAACTTCAGAGACAATATCGTAAGCAAGGTAGACTGCCCATGGAGCAAAGTCCATCTTGGTACCGGAAGTAGCGAACGCATCTAGTCTGGACATCCAGCGCTCGATGTGCTTGTCAAGCAGAGGCTCCATCTTCCGAATGTTTGAAAAAGAGTAAGGCGCCGCAGCGATCTTACGGAAGCGAGCATGAACTGCATGGTCCTGCATGTTGAACAATGATTCCGTCTTTCCGAAACTGCCGGTGATGTAGTGTTGCGACTTGTTGGCATTTCGGTGGTAGATTTCCGGTAACTTGGTTGCGTCACTGACAAGCAACATGGTAGGTGTGATGCGAATGACAGGCCCTAATATTGCGAGTCAACTTTTGACTCTGTTTGAATGTATGGACTCAACATATTCATTACATGCAAGGTAAGTTCATTGCGAACCTGATGCCTTGATAGACGTGCACTTACCATACTTCTTGTGAAGCTCCTGATTCACCCGACATTCATCCTCCTTAACATTATGATATGTTATCCACAGTCGAGTTACCGAACCCCAAAAAGGGCCGGGGAATTTGGCTAGCGGATGATAGAAGCGATAATACACGATTTGGTAAAGTAATTTCCACAACACATAGGCTGCAGAGAGCAGCAAAATGTTGCCAAAACTGAATAAAGCCATATTGAAGACGATGACGAACGAGTTGTAGCAGAGAAAAAAAAGTTCGGCTCTATGTTTTCCACTTGATCTGAAATTGGCATTACAATCTCGACCAAAGTCCCAAAATTGCTGATCTTCCTCCGCAACCAGTGCTGGGTCTGTTTCGGTGGAGGCCTGAAAGTTCCTCTAACTGGGTCCCTTCAACGGTGACATCGTCTCATGGGTGAGGAGTGACGGGCATAGTCCGCTTGATGTTGCATCCACTTGAACTTCCTCGGCACTTTTCCCGCCGCTAAGAGCCGACCGACTAACCACAGCGCAGCTAATTCTACAGACGCGACGTAATTGTGGAAATGTGTCGTAGCGAGCAGCAGGGACCGTGATCGGCATTTGTGGAAGGATTCTCATGGTTGTCAAACTTCTATGGAGTGATACGGCTGCGAACCTATCAAAGAAAATGATGCAGATTGCAGGCGATACTACTGGCGCCAGAAGTGGGCGAAATAGTCTAGGCAACGGTATGCCTTCACAGGGCTTTTACGCTCCAGGTAATGTCGGCCGCCCACCAAAAGTCGCATTCCTGGCCTCAAGCAGACATGTACCTCAGGTAGTTCGAATACACACGCAAGTAAATGGCAGTGTTAGTTGGATGCCTGGCACCTGAAGATCACTAACCAAAATTATTACCCCACGATTCGATTCAACACGTATTATCCGAGGAACATAGAGAGTATTGGAGGTAATTGTTGACAAGCTTGAAGTAACAGCAATGAAAGGACATAACAGTACAGGTAGGAACAGAGCTGGGACTTTGGGAGGCACACGATTGTGTTACGCACTTCCCGCGTCAAAAGCCTAGGTAGGTGTTTTCTTTAGATCTTCGAAGTCGTCTTCTTTCATTATTAATACGCGGTATGGCATTATTAGACTACAGCCTGCGGGTACTCTTGGGGATTTTACTTGTGGCAATGGTCATTACCAGCTACCCGAAAGGGTATTCGATACAGCCAACTATCCCGCAGTTACTGGGAACTGCAACATGATGCTAGACGCATCTCGAATATTCTTAAGACCATTGAACCCGAGTCTGTCGGGAGTTTCGTACGAATGGGTAAACTCGGCCGGAGATGGGAAATCACGCACCCCCCATCACCATGCAATTAATTGGCCAGTCTGTGTTACCAATTTTCCGGACGTGGACTCACGGCTCGCTCCGTCGATGACCTCGAGAACGCCAGTAACAGAGCTTTCAATCGTGTCAAGTCGATTGAGATCAAAGTTCCACTGCTTCGCGGCATCTTCACCCATAGACGTTCGAACAAATCCGGGGTGGACAGCCACGCTTACCAAGTCTGGATGTTGTATATGCAACGATTTGACCAACCAGTTAAGCGCAGCCTTACTGGGACCATAAGCGCCAGCAGGAAGAGGCTCTTGTTCTTCGATGGATCCAAGCGATGACGTGATTCCGATGAACTTCGCAGGGCGGCCGTCTGCTTCCTGCGGTCTTTCCAGGAGCGGCCAGAGACCTTGAAACACCATCAAGGGTGCGATGGTGTTGATTTCGAATGCACTCCTTAGTTCCTCGGCGGTGGTCAAGACTGAGCGCGATGCTGTGGCAGATACGGCGGCGTTGCTAATGAGAACATCGATTCGGGTGACGGCGCCGCCAGTCGCCGTATCGAAGGCTTTGCGGACGGCAGTGCTATCAGGGGCGATGTTGAAGTCAAGCAACATGACAAAAAGCTCGCTGCCGTTACCCTTGTTTACATCTCGGACGCTGGACTTCAGTGAAGAAGCAGCTTTATCATTCCTAACGGAGGCAACAACTGTTGTAGATGGTCTCGCTAACAAGGTCTTCACTAGGCCAAGGCCGATGCCTTTGTTGGTTCCAGTAATGACATATACGGTGTTCGGCATTGTCGGACAGCGATTTATGTTGGAATCAAAGACTGCAGAGCGCGAGGCTGGGGTATAGATGGACGCTCGTCGGCGACGCAACTTATAAGACCGGTAGTTGGCAAAGGATCGGTGGAACGTGGTGATGTGTGATGAGGTTGTAGGGAGACTTTGCGGTAAAGAAGAGGTGATCAGCGGGATCGCGGCATCCACTATAAATAAGTACAACATCGGAAGGATCAGGACCAGGGCAAGGAGTCAAGAAAAACACGTGAATCTCTTAGGGCCAATCCATCGACCATATGAGCACCTCACGTCAGCAAAAAGTGATGGTTGCGTGATATCCAAGTCTACACGCGCATATCTGTATGGCGTGCCGCAACTTCCGTGTCCACTTCTCAACCTTCTATCATTCTAATTTGTCTCTCTGTCAACATGTTCGCCTTGGCATTGCACAGAAACACTTGGTCAACGTTCAAACCAACAAATTGGCTTTCTCGTGCGCCGCATCTAGACCACCGGCAAAACCATCAGCAATTTTCAATGCCTCCAGACGCTCTTCCTCAACCTTTGCCCAAGTCCACCCTCCGAAGTCATTTGCCTCTGGCGTGACGTCTGCAATGGATCCTTCAGATTGGTCCTCCGAAGGAAGAACTCCTGCCGCCTGGAAGAACTTCTGCGGTGGCACAGTGAGACGACCGGCTTTGACAACGCATTTCGAGATTGCTGTCGCATAGACAAGAGGCGATGACTGGTCAGTCTTGCCTTCATCTACTTCCTTCCATGGTTGGTAGGTGGGCGACTTGCTCCCTTTCCGCTTCTCGACAAAATGGGTTACAATGTACAGCCACTTCTTATCCCAGGTGAGGACTCTGCTTTGCATGTTAAAGGCAGCACCAGGCTTGATTTCCTTCTTGAAGGTGCAGGAGGTGCCTGCGAGCAGAACTTGAACACCTCTCTTGTAATCTTTGTACAGACCGCCGTCAATTGCTTGAGCTCTCAGGGCGGCGAGAAGGTCCGTCCTAGCAACATCAAGATCAGAGAAGTAGGTCCTATTTGACTTGTGCAAATTGTAGTCGGTCTCCAGCAGAGCAACCCGAGAAGGTGTGACTACCGGCTGGAAGATAGCTCCAGGTTTGTGCTCGAAAAGCCCATTCTTGGGCCACCAAATGTGGCTGAACACACGAAACTGGCATTAACATTAGGACCGATTTCTCCATAGGGTAGTCAAGCATGTCCACAGGTATGACTCACATGCCAAATAAAAGGGATCCTCTTCAGGTTCAGGTACAGTAGTGCAGCTGTGGCCACTCCCCATGCTGCCTGGGCTTTGGTTGAGGCGACCGATTGCATCATCTGCTCGAGGATCTGACGAAGGCACGGCTTAGCAGCCCCCAGCGCATCTGCCATTGTTCTCCATAGCGTGGAGTCTATCATGTTAAATTCTTCTGCAGAAGGTCGTGGGATAAAAAAACAGGTAACATGAAGTCAAAGCCAAGACTTCGGGCTAAGCCAGATGGCCACGGAAGATATTCAAAGCCTCGACGTGGCCACACGAGTCAGTCAGTTAGCAGTGTCGTTGCAGCGAGTCATTTACCTTGAATTGTTGGACTCGGATACTCTTGTCAAAGCGGACGTTGCAAGGCGCTGCTTATCACGCGCATCCATAGTGATTGAATTCAGTCCCTTTTGAAGACTTGATAATTTCCACAAACTCCAAGTTTCACTGGGCAATTTGTAATGGTTACTGCAAGTTATTAGCACTTTGGATCGTATTCAATGAGGTTACAAATCTATATGAACATGCACCCAGAAAGTACATGAAAGCAGTCATACCATCGCGTGGATGATGCACTCTTCTGGAAGGATGAGCTCGTTGGTAGCGGTAAGCGCCTCGAATCTTGGACCGGTCCGGAGCTACTCGCCCAGTATGAGCCCGCTCGGCGCCGAAACCTGGATCGGGTCCGATCTAGAGTGGGGATAAATCGGCCGAGGTTACGGGAAACCCAGCCCGTTGAAATGCTTCATGTGGTACAAATCATTGAAAAAAGGCCTATCTTGACATTATGATTGGCCAAGACGCAGTCGGTGTTGTTGAATCCTTAAATCGGGTTTTCTTCTTTTCTCAGTGGCACTGTGGTGTTCTGCATGAATGCGTAGTAACTCTCCGTTTTCGAAATCGAAAACACCGGGTTAGGATACAGGTGCCATGCTGGTGTTACGAACTTTGCAAGCTCCGTCTTTGAAAAATGCTATGTGGGATTTCCTTGTCGCGTAGATTCGCTTTCATGAAGATTTTGAGAATGTTTGCAGCTCCAATGTCAGGATCTTACTTGTTGTTCTCATTTGAGGAGCAACGTGTAAGACGAGTCTACATTTCCTGTATGTCCAGTCAGCAGCCCTCATCTGCCGGTTGTGAGGCTGCATGTCCGGTGATGGTTTGGCTGCGATCGGGGTTTGGTAGAGAATCGCGGGAGTGTGTAAGACAATGTTCTGGTGCATTCGTCCAATTTCAGTGCAGGTCGCGAGCACAGACTCCACGTGTACAAGTGATTGCTAGTTGAGCAGATCGATTTTTCGGAGGTCCATAGATGAACGAGCGTTCGTCCTGGTTTGTGTCTTACAGAGCAAATAAACAATGCACTAATAATTCAGGAGAGACAATGGTGCTGCAGATCCAACTGTGCGTACTCTGCATAACCCTCGGGAATTTCTTGGCATCCCAGACACACCATCGGTGACCATGGTGCCAGACCTTTCAGCTAAGGTAGCTGAACACACACACGGCCCCTACACACCAGGGTAGGTAGTCTGGACTCGGCCAGATGTCTAGCTCCGTGAACACAGGGACGGGAAACCAGGATGACAGTACGCTACGCGCGTCAGTGAACTCGAGCGTATTCGTTCCATCGGGCTTTTGTCAAAGCACGAGGTAAAGGGATCATCGCCATCGGTAGTCCGTCTACACCGCGCCCAGTTTGTCTCCACGTTACTTCCGGTCCGCTGAGCTGACGCTCCACGCGGCCAACGGACGCCCCTGACAAGTGCTGTCATTTAGCGGCACAACGCATCAGCCGAAGACCCAAGTGCCAATCATCAACCCAGGCTCATTTCGGTAGAAGTCGGTGTGGTTGCCAACGGAAGAGCCGCAGCGCTTCGATAGAGGCGATTTTCCCACCCTACATGACGTAGAGATGGCCAGGCACAGGCCCAGCAAGCTCACCCGTCTTGGCTTTGAGCCGACTTGCCGGTTTTTCGTGGGGAACTTAAGAGCCCCATCACATCCACATTGCCCATTCGGTCCAGCCAGTCGCCTAGTTCGAGACATTTGCTCTTGACGTCAACAAAACAGGGAATCTAGTGGGAAACGAGGTTTACCACTTTTTCCGGCTCCTCAATGATCTCACCTATGGCTGGACGCAGCTAGAAGCTACTCAAATTGGACCAAAACGTCAACACAGCGGAAGCTATATGAGCTCTGTACAGCTGCCCAGAATGTTTAGATGATTTTAAAGTTTTGGTCCACACTGATTTTCATCTCCGAACTGCGGACTTTATCTCATCACAATCGTTTGCGCGATACAATGGCTCGCCAACAGAGTCTGAGCTCGAAGCTCATCCAACTGCTGCCCTTCGTTGCCTACTCTTCGGCATCAGCATTGTACTCTACCTATAGCTTCAACCCCTTGACACACCTGGGAGGCATTGCCCCGTACTTCGAATCACAAGACCCTCAATCATCACCCGACGCGCCACAGGGATGCAAAGCAGAACGTGCAGCTTACCTGGTTCGACATGCAGCCATTTACGCAAACGACTTCGACTTCGAAGAGTACATCGAGCCCTTCCTCGAAAAGTTGGGCAACAAGACGAGCATCGAATGGAGCAAAATCCCTTACCTGAACTTCTTGTCGGGCTGGGAGGCACCAGTGTCTGAGGCTGAGGCCGAGATCTTGACACGGGTTGGAAGACTTGAAGCGACTCAACTCGGCGTCGACCTCGAGTTCAGATACCCCAACCTCAGACTCCCCAAAAGAGTATGGACCTCTTCCGCAGAGAGGACAGAAAAGTCTGCCCAGTCTCTCGTGCGCGGGCTCGAGACCGACGACAACACCATGAACGTCGTCAGCATCTACGAATCGGAGGAGTCAGGCGCAGACAGCTTGACGCCTTACAAGGCCTGCCCGGCTTACTCTTCCTCTGCGGGCAGCAAACAGTCTGCCGTCTACCAGGAAAAGTTCACGAAACCCATCATTGCCCGCTTCAATGACTTGGCCCCAGAGTTCAACTTCACGACGAACGACATCTTTGGCATGCAGCAACTTTGCGGATACGAGACCGTCATCCGCGGAAAGTCTCCTTTTTGCAACTTGGAGCTCTTCACCCCCGACGATTGGCTCGCCTGGGAGTACACGGAAGACGTCCGCTACCACTACAACGTCGGTTACGGAGCCGAGGCGTCTGGATACGTCGGTCTCCCCTGGCTGAACGCCACCGCAAACCTGCTCATGGGTGACTCAAGCGATGAGGACATCTATGTTAGCTTCACGCACCGTGAACTGCCTCCTATGGTCATCGTTGCGATGGGTCTTTTCAACAACTCTGAGTTTGGTGGCAGCGAGGCTTCCATCAACGACACTATGCCGCTTGACCGCATCAATTACCGCCGTGCGTGGAAGGCCTCCAGCATCCTGCCATTCCTTGGCAACATTGCCGTTGAGCGTCTGAACTGCACCGGCGCCTATGGGTACGATAATGGCGACTACTACCGTGTGCTGGTAAACAGCGCACCCCAACCCCTTCCTGATTGCGCCGATGGCCCCGGCACTTCCTGCTCCAGAAAGGGTTTCGAGACGTATTTGCAAGATAGAGTGGACCAGTTTTCTGGCTTCTCCGAGAAGTGTGGTGTCGAGTACAAGAACGGTACCGACGTCCTGTCGATTTATACAGATGCCGCGGTTGGCAATGGAACCACAGTGGGCAAGCGTTATGAGCCATTCCTTAATTAAACATAGCGTAGA